CGAATTACGCTCAACCAGAATGTGATGACGCGCTGGGGCAGCGATCTCTCCGATACCTGCTCGGACAGTGTGGCGTTGGAGTTCGAGGAGATCCCCTCTAAGGAGAAGCAACAAACGCTGGACACCTTGCTGGGCATCGGATCGAAATTGAAATATGGCGTGGAGCTGGGCAGGCGCATTGTGCTGGCCTACAGGGCAGCGATGTATCTGGACAAGGAGTATCTGGATGTACTGCGCACCAAGGATGCCGGTGTTTTGCTGAAGAGCGCCGCTGGAGAAGATTGCCTACAGCGCCTGCTAGTGGTCAGTGATATACAAATATCCACAAGGATGACGCCAGAGGAGATCGCTGAGAGTTTGGCCCTGGAGTTGACCACTTGTATCGTCCGTCCGCGTTTCTATATTTTCAATGCCAAAGACCAGCCAAGGAATGCTTTGAGGAACGCCGATCTCTGGGGTCACAGCATCGATCGGGACTTCCACCTGTTCCTTGAACTTGCTCCCAATACCACCATCTTGGGTCATTGCCTACTCGAGTACTGTGATGCCTTGAAGGCCTATCGTCGCTACCAAAATGGCCAGATGTTCGAGGAGACGGAAGCCTTTGAGCGTCTCTTTGGTATAATTACTCAGTATGGACTGCCTACTCCGCCACCAACGGGAACCATATCCGGCATCCCCCAAATCTTGTCTCACAAAAAGCAGAATCAAATCTACGTGGAGCTGTTGATAAAAGCCCACCTTTGCTTTGTGCACGAGTGCTCCATGGAGGGAATCGTGAGTGTGCTTCAAAAGGCCAAAGCACTCAATGGGCAACTTGCCAAAGCGAAATCGTGGTCACTGATTGTCCGGATGCTGATCGGATAGCACGCTATCGGGAGATGTTCTACTGCTTCGATGCGCTGATTGATAACGAGCAGTTCGAGTCGCTACTCGGGCAGTTCGATGAAGACCAAAAGAGCGGATTGCGACAGGCTATCCTTAGCTACATAAAAGAATACCAACCGCAGAATGGTAAGGAACTACTTCGCCTGGCGGCCCTGCACTTTCTTATGTACAAGGAACTAGCGGAAATGTGGACCGAGGAAGCCCAGGATATTGTTAGCAAAATCCAAAGCATGGCTGAACAGTCCAACAAGTTGAGATGCTCAGTACAGGTGCAGACACTCTTGCAGCAGGCTTTGGAGAACTATACCCATGCCACTGAGAACTATTTGCTGGACAACAAGCTCCTCCTGGCCCAGCAGAGTGTGTCTCGGGCGGAGTTGATGGCCATGCAGCTGGATCTCTGCAACAAGGCCTTGGAAAAGCGTCACAACAATAATGCCAATCTGTTGTGTGTGAGCGTGATTGGGGTGCGAACAAGGGAACAGTTTCGGGAGCTTGTAAATACACATCTGAGGTGCGTGGTCTCTCTTCGAACTCAAGCTATAATTCGAAGTTAATCTTTAACAATTTTCAGTGTCCCACAAACGCTGATCCTGAGCCGCGCCTATAACTACGATGTCATCTGGAGCGAGGCCCTCTTGTCTCAGTTTGTTCTACTTCAAGTAAACAACTATCTGCAGGAGTACCTCTGCCACCAGCGCATCAATGACGATGTGATTGAACAAGCAGTCAAGGGGTAAGATTATTTTATTTTCCACTTACCTCTAGAGCTAAGTATTGTCACTCCTTTAATAGTTACCTGGTGCACGCTCAGAGTAATGCCACAAATGCCAAACAGGAGGAGTCACTGGCCCAGCTGGTGGAACTGATTAAATCGGTAATCCTCAAGTATAAACTAGCTTCCATTTTGGGGTTTAAGCCTATCGTGATGTCCCTGATTAATGATTCGCCGGTTCACTATCTTCGCGACACAAACTTTGGTCGCACCGAATTCCACACGTCGGGGGACACGTGACATAGTATATATCAATGTGATTTTAATCTGTCTTTATACAACAATATAAGTACTGAATACGTTATTAAAAATATACAATTAAAAATAGTTGAACCTTTCTACATAGAGTGCGGGCTGCTCGATCGCCTTCACAGGTGTTTCTGCTATCTTAGGAGCTTCTTCAGTTCTTTTTGACTTTGCTTGGGGTTCATTCCAAGGCTGGACAGTCATTTCACCAAAGATTACATACATCAAGTTGCCAAAGAACAGTATCACAGAGATGCCCAGGAAGACCGAACGCCATTGCGTGCGATCCGACTGCAATTATAACAAGATTATTAGATTTGTTAATTTAAGTACAAACCCATTAGAGTACTCGACCTCATTGGTGACCGCCAGTCCGATAACTATGGGTGATATTACCCCAGCCGCTGACATCAGGGTGTTGCTAATCCCAAAGAGAAGTCCGGCGAAATTCGGTGCTAGATCCACATGGTTTAGGGAGCTGCCAATGGCCTGTCCTGAAATGGCAGCCGTTGCTGCCACCATGCAACACAGGCTGCCCACCACATTTTGTTCGCCCATATAGGACAGAATTACCAGGGCCACAGCTGGAGTCCAGGTGGCAAATGAATTGATGGTCTTCCGCAGTATGGCTAATGATATGTCCTTGCGTCGTGTCAAGTATTCAGCCAGGAAAATAAAGCTGTAGGAGGACATCAGCATAATAAGAAAGGGTAGGGCGGACAGCAAAGCATTCACCGCGATGGTGTAGCGAAAGATGCCGTGGATATAGCGCGGTATCTGTTGCATCAGAGTATAGAAACTGCAGGCCTGGCTCATCTTGACCAAAGCCAGCACGATAAAGGGACGAGAGGTGAGGATTTTCAGCCAAGGCACTGGAGGGGTCCCCCATGATTGGCTTGGCTCTTCTCCAAGGCGAGCTCAATATGCTTGCGCTCCGCCAGGCTTATAAATCTGGATTCCGATGGGCAGTTGGCTCCATATCGCAGCCAAAGGAGGCACCAGGCCATGCCCATGTAGCCTGAAGATGAAAATGATTAGGCAAGTAACTAAAGGAAAATCTTTAATTTAATTATATATTTCTAGTTATTTTTCCTTAAAGATAGTAATTTGAATGTAGGTAATCTCTGGATACTGACCTGGCACATAGAAGGCGCTCGGCCATCCAAGCGACGAGGCGGAGAGCACGCCACTCAAGGCAAATCCCATTACTGTTCCGAAATCCAAACCCGTGGTCATCACGCCGCCCAGGCGATTTGCTTCCCGCTTGGGACACCACTTGGCCAAATGTGTGTACAGGCAGGGCCACATGCCCCCCATTACCAGTCCCTGGATGAGACGAACGCAGAAGAGCAGCTGCCAGCCACCCCAGGCGAGGACGAAGGGTGTGGCAATGCTGATTATGGAGGTGAAGAACATAATGCCCAGCAGCAGCATCTTGGCTCCAAACCGACTGGACAGATAGCCGCTCATCAACTGGGTGCAGCAGGAGCCCCAAAAGGGACTGCTGATAATGTAGGACTTTTGCTGCTCCGTCAGCCGATACTCAGGATAATTTGGGTTACTGCTATTGGCATTGGTCAAGGCCACGATCGCCACGCTCATGTTGAATCTCTGGGCCACAGTCAGAGTGGCGCAGATGAAGAGGAACAGCACTTGCAGATGCCGGATACCCCATCTGGGATCTGTCGAAACAAATGACTCTGATTGCGAACCTTGGACCATTTTGATCTACTCACCCTTGGCCACCAAGTTGAACGATGTTATCGTCATTGCGACGTGCACAACATGCGTCTAGTGCCACCACCTCGAATCACCGAACTGGCCAGAGATGGGTGGAGCATGTAGCTGCAGCTGCTGCGCTATGCTGCGAAACTGGTTTGCCCGCCAAAATCGCAAACTGGCTGCACCGAAACTTGATTTCTGGCCGCGTGCCGATAAGTTCTATTCCTATCTATTCAAGGGAAACACGCTCCGATGATAGAGACCGCTCTGGATGGGGCTACAACGAAAGTGAAAAGAGATGCCAGAGGGACGCACTGATAAGAGTAAGAGGCGGGAGAGGAGCACTCAAGGGAATAAGGAATATAGTTTCAAGTGTAGGAGTTATTGGATTTTAAGTTATAGAATAAAATAAATATATATTTCAGAGCAGATAAATTGTATTTTGAAACGATCTAGGCATGAGCTTTAAATATTGTTTAACAACATCAAAAATTACATGTCATAAACTAATTGGCAGTATGAAAATATATTTATTTTAAGGCCCATAATCATAAATGTAATACTCTTCAAAATAAGCAGGGAAGAATATACTTTCTAAATTAACAATTAAATGACTTAACGAGAGCCAATGGAGAGCCACTTGCTCAAAACTACATAGAATCCAATGACTCGTGGAGCACTGAACTGAGCTGAAAAATAAATACAAACAATAACAATGACGGGTGGAAACGGTTCTTGTTCTCACCTCTTATCAAAAGGTAAATATAACAGCGGCAGTCAACCCGGCGCTTTATATCAATTGCGGGACTAATTACAATCACTTTAGTTCCGGCCATTAGAGTCGGCGGTTTTTATTTTATCAAATGACAAAGCGATCGTTAAGCGATAATTATGACTGAATTAGCCATCGATAAGATAAGGCTGAGACCTTACCCAATTTCAAAGTTGGCATTTCGGCGACAGAGATCTTTATGGGAGAGATCTTAATCACTGAGAGTGATCCTTCTTAGGACTAAAAAGGGAAGTAAAAGGATGCTCTAGGAACTAGGGAGTAACACTCCTTAAACCTACGATCTTATAACTTAAGATGTAAAACTTATCAATATGGGAAAAGCTTTCTTAGCTCCTTTGCTAAATTATAATTCAAAGTCTAAAAACAACGCCTTTACCTGTCACGAGCAGCTGCTGAAAGTACACACAGATAAGACGTAAATAGCTCACTCAATCAGAAAGGAGGCTGGTCTTTGACGGAGCCACCAGAGCGGAGTAACCCCAACTAACCATAGAGATCTAATCCCACAGAGATCCAAAAGACCCATTTCAGTCACGAGCAGCCAAGGCAAATAGAGCAAAGTACAAAGAGCGGAGAAACAATTCAACAGTTTATTACTAAGTTATCACAAGTATCACAATTTAATTTCATATATTCATATATTCACAAACAGCTGTGGCAATTGTTTTTGAACCCATCATGAGAGAGAGGGAGAGATCGAGAGGCTAGGCAGTGCAAAACACTTCACACAACCTCAACTCTAGTTCCAGCCATTGACAATTGGCCACATGAGTTCCAATCCAAAAAATAAATATGCGTACTTATATACATTTAAAAGATAAATTAACAGATTAGATTGCACTGGACGATTGGATTCGTGCTCCGGCTCGGGTTCCTCCTCGATTGGAGTGCCCGAAATCACAAGCGATTGGTAACAGAACAAAGCGAGTGATCCGATTGAAAATAATTTACTTAAGTCTCGCGCTACCATCACGCCTTATAAATAGAATAAATATAAATTACAGCCTACTTATGGTTAATACTGATTATATAAAATCAATTGTTCGGATCGACAAGTGCCCTGGACTTCCGCCACAAATCACTCTACAGCCCGTGCCGTGTACCTCTCCGGCCAGGTGATTTGCTGCTCCAGCACCGGATCTATGGGTGGTGCTATCTCCGCCGGCGATGTCTTCTCCTTCTTCTTCTCACTGGCCGCGGACTCTGCATCCTTGGGCTTTAGATAGTCGTCCGCATCCCAGGGCTGCGCCTTGGCGGTGCCCCAGATGAGGAAGACCACGTTGCCCACAAAGAAAATGACGGCTGCCAGTCCGAAGACGATCTGCCATTGGCCGCGATTGTGCTGTAAACAATTGGGAAATATATTTATTGATTGGGTTTGTTTTTCTATGGAAGTTGGTTACGGAATTTCCCTTTATTTTCGGCCCACCGCTGACTCACCTTATCGGCCACGATCACTCCGGCAATCAGTGGTGTGAGGATGGGAATAACGTTCGCCACCGTGTTGCTCAATCCAATCAAAATGCCAGCATGATTCGGTGACAGATCGATGGAGTTCAGGGAGCTGCCAATGGTTGCTCCACTATTAATGCCCACCGACACCGTCATCAGAATGATAGCCAGCTTCTTGTGGTCTTCGTTAAGGAAGCCGATTCCAATCAAACAGCCAGCAGGAATCCAGAATGAGAGGGTGTTGAAAAGCTTTCGCACAGAGGTCAGCGACAGGAACTTCTTCTTTAGCAGGACATCGGCGGCAATGAGGTAGACATAGGACAGCAGCCACATGGCCAGGAAGGGTAGCGATGAGAACACGGCGTTGCTCTGGATGTCCATGTTGAGGACTCCGTTCATGTACGAGGGTATCTCCGCCTGCAGGGTGCTCAGGCCGTAGGTCTCCGAGCAGCGGGCCACCAGGAGTGCCAGAAAGGGTACCGAGGTCCAGATCGCCCGCCATGGAATCGGTATGTTTCGTTCATGGAAGTCCTCGTTATGCTCGAGAGAGGATTCAATGTATTTGCACTCTTCCTCGCCAATAAATCTAGATTCCGTTGCATTATTGGCCGCAAAGATGAGCCATAAGAAGCACCAGGCGGCGCAAAGGGATCCAGAAACATACGATATTCCGGGCCAACCCATGGCTCCCTTGGCTATCATGCCACTGATGAACATGGCCAACACTGTGCCGCAATCCGTGCCTGTATAGCTGAAAGCACCCAGCCGATTTCTCTCCTCTGGCGGTGACCACATGGCCAAGTGTTCGGTAACGCACGGGAAGATCACGCCCTGGAACAAGCCCTGGACAATGCGAATGGCACAGAACACTTGCCATCCGCCCCAGGTGATGCACCAGGGGGTCATCAGGCTGAAGACGGCGGTACCGAAGCAGGCCACAAAGAGGACCACCTTGGCGCCATAGCGACGGCAAAGAAAGCTACCGGGACAGAGGGTAAGGATGTAGCCCCAATAGAAGCTGGATAGGATGTAGGACTTGTGTTTCTCATTCCAGTTGTATTCCTGCGGGTTGGAAGGCAGCCACCTCGTCAGCATTTGCTAGAAGCGTAAAGAAGCTCTCTTGAAAACTCACCGGAAAATTGGGATTTGTGGTGGCCGCATTGGTCATCGCCACGATGGCCACGCTCACGTTGAGCCGGGCGATGTGCATCACGGTAAGTCCGAGGAACAGTAGAAACGATTGCAGGTGACGAACGCCCAGGCGAGGGCCCTTTGCCGGTTTATGGCTCATGCTGAGGATGATGATGATCACCTATCACTTTAACACTGTAACACTGAAATCTCTAGACTAGGAGCACCTTGTTCTAATTTTTCCTAGGTCTGCACTGCTGGGTTGGCAGAATGGTTCTAAGCCCAAACGCCATTGTATTGCCAACATTTATACGAGGGCCGAAAAGCTTCGGGAGATAGGACCGCCACTCACCGCGATATCATTCACTGCCATTCATTATTCCGGCTCTATTATTTGTCCGGGGGTCTTGCCACAGGTGACTCCCCAGAAGAGAGGGAGCTGATCGCCGAGAGTTTGACGCACTCCTAGATCCAGAACTCGAGCCGACTGACGTAGCCGATCTATTGTAGCAACTCGGGCGAAAGCATATGCATATGTCGGCAGTATCAGCAAATATTGATGGATTTACACAGAGTTGGTAGCTATTAAAAAAAAAAAAAAAACAAAAGCAAAATACACACAAAACACCCACTTAACATACACCCGCCCCATTTGCCGGAGACGTGTTTATTTGCCCAAAAGATTTATGACACGATTGTCAACGCAAAGCCTTCTGGCACTCGAGTGAACCTAGTCGTACAGAAAATAAATCCAAGCCAATCCGATCCCATCTGTCGAAAGCTCAAAGCGGAAAGCGGAAAGACGCTAACTTCACTTCACTCGCCACTCAATGTCCCGGCCATCGGCCATAAATGAATGATTTTATTTATTTTTTAAATACGATTCTTTATGGCCCTAATCTGGCCGAAACAATGGAACGCGCCGATAAGCGATGCTACCAGTTAAATAAATAATAAACTAATCGATAATGTACCGAGACCGAGACCGTGTCGAGCCACCACCACTCATTCCGCCGGTGTATTTATAATGTTCATATCAATTTATTGACCTTTATTAATTTAAAGAAATTCATAATCTTTAGTTGATCGGGTTCCAGCTCGAGTGATTCCCCTCGGCCACTCAATGGATTGTGGGGTTGCGAGTGGAAGCTCAATGGGTTGCGATTTTAGATTAGCCTTAGAGCTTTCATTATCTTTTTTGAGGGATTCCGAAGCAATGTTTTTTCTTCTTTTTTTTTTTTGCAAATAATCTTTGAATGGATTTCCCATATATGGAGGACGCTTTGAACAGATTGAAGATCGAGTGGCAGAGGAATCCACGGAGTCTTCTGAGTTAAATGTGACGGTTCTGATAGGTAAGGGACAAATGTCATATTTGAATTACAGGAAAGTGTAAAAACTCTAAATCAGTTTTATCGTACAAAAGCAAAGAATAGAAACTAACTTCGGGAAGCCGATGTGACTATAGTTTACAATTAAATTAAAGGATCGATCATAAGTAAGCTTAAAATACTCGCATTCCCTAATTGATATTTATGAAAATATTTATGAGACAATTTTTTTTCTACAAACCAAAAATCGCATAGCTCAGCCAAAAATGCATTAATTTCTATTCGGAAAGCTTTCCTATGTTAGTTTTTTATATGTTAACAAATCTGCATACTCAGTTTAAAACCTCAAATTTTTGGCAATTTTTGAACATTTTAACGATGTAACCCCTTATCGTATTTTTCAAAAATCGAAAAAATTGTATAAATTATTTTTCTTTTAAATATATCTAGATCGATCCGCCTTTAAATGCTGATCAAGAATATATATGATATATGGGTTCGGAAATGACTCCTTAACTGTTTTGGAAGCTTCGGAATGTAAATAACAAATACATATGGAATATTTAAGTTTTAATCTTTATCACAAAAATGCAAGCTTTAGTCCCAACTAATCACTAGAAATAATGTTATAAAGAGTTTAAGGTAAACCCCTTTTGAGATACGACTATCTTGAACTACTCATAGCCCTGATGAATGTGTGGCAAAATAAAGGACATCTAATATTAGCAAAGCTAAAGCTTTGTTCACTTTGCGTTTGATGCACTTTGGAAACTACAATTCTATTCAGTTCAAATTATAACTTTAATATCAATGAAATAAATCAATATGAATATCATTATCAATTTGTAATAGCTGTGATAAGTTAAAGACTACTTGTACTTATTGCTTTGTTTACATAACAAAAACTATAAACTACTTGGACTTGCATGGACTTATTATCTGCTTATGGACTTTAGCTTTGGCTTTTCATTGCCACTTAATGAAGGGGCCTCTTTGGCCGCCCCAGTGCTTGCTGGTTCGTCGGCCAGTTCGGGTTGCCTTAGCTGGAGGTAGTCCTCCGCATCCCAAGGCTGAATTACAGCAGTTCCAAAGATAACATAGACGACATTTCCCACAAAAAAGACAACTGCTGCGATGATGAAGATGATCTGCCATTCGGTGCGATCAGACTGGAATCAAGAACAATCAAATGGAAAATATATGAAAAAATATATAGATAGAGAATTCACTTTAACTCACATTATCCTTCACAATCCAACCCACAACTAAGGGCGTGGCTATGGGCACGAAGTTGGCAGCTGTATTCACGATGCCCATCAGGATGCTGGCATGATTGGCCGACAGATCTATCGTGTTTAGAACACTGCCAATGGTCTGAGCACTATTCACACCCACGCTGATGGTCATCAGGGCTATTGCATAGTTCTTCTGTTCCTTGTCCAGAAATCCAATGCCAATCAAAGTGGCACAGGGAATCCAGAAGGCTATCGAGTTGTAGGTCTTCCTAAGCACTGTTAGACTAACCACTTTTTTGTTTAGCAGAACCTCTGCCGTGATCAAGTAAGCATACGACATAATCCACATGGCCAGGAAGGGCAGAGCGGAGAAGAAGGCATTGTTCTTCATGTCCATGTCCAGGACACCATTCATATAGGATGGGATCTCTGCCTGCAGCGTGCTCAGCCCCCAGTTCTCACAGCATCGAGCTGTCAGCAGGGCCAGGAATGGAGCAGACGTCCAAATGGCCTTCCAGGGTATGGGTATAATGGTCTTGTGGTACTTTTCATTGTGCTTTAACGACGACTCTATATATCCAAGTTCTCTTTCCCCAATGAATCGAGATTCTGTAGGATTGTTGGCCGCAAATACGAACCACACGGTGCACCAGAAGAACGCTAGCCCCGCGGATACATACTGGACTCCTGGCCAACCAATGGAGCTCTTGGCAATCATTCCGCTGAGGAACATGGCACTCACGTTGCCACACTCGATGCCCGTGTGGGCGAGAGCACCCAAGCGATTCCTTTCCTTGGGAGGTGACCATCTGGCCAGGTGCTGGTGAATGCAGGGGAACACCACTCCTTGGGCCAGTCCCATTAATACCCGAATGCCACAGTAGGCCTGCCACTCTCCGAAGCCAATGAAGAGAGGCGTCAAAGAGCTGCAGACACCGGATCCGAAAACTCCCCAGAACATGACGCTCTTCACGCCATATCGCTTGCAGAGATAGCCGCCCAGGAACTGGGTGAAGATGTAGCCCCAGAAGAAACTGGAAAGGATGTAAGACTTTTCCGCCTCCGTCCAGCTATATTCCTGTTGGTTTTTTAAACAGTTAATCATATTTTTCAAATATCATCTTATCTCTTACGGGAAAATCCGGATTTGTTGACTCTGCATTGGTCAAGGCCACCACTGACACGCCCACATTCAAGCGTCCGATGAACATGATCGTTATGTTGAGGAAGATCAGGAGGGCCTGGACATGGCGCATGCCCACTGCGGGTCCTAAAAACAGGCACAACAAATGGGAAAACGGTAATTATTATCGCGGGTAGCACTTCCTGCCAGCAAATAACTTGGCCAAATAAATCTGAATGGCTCTTGAGACACCGTTATCGCTGCCATAATTTGAGTGATTTACAACCACTTGATGGGCGTGCGAATGGCCAGCATGGTCTTATCAGGCTGTGGGCAAGGTCTGACTTGAAAAGGGCACAGCCAAAGTGTGTCAAGTTCGTGGGAAACTCTTTTTAAGCACAAAATCCTATCCCAGTCGAAGGACTGTGCCTTATCTTAATACCTTTACTGTTTTCGGCAGTCATCACAGATTCAGCTTAGCCTGCAACCACTCTCTTCCACGGTGGGATTTAAATTGAATTAATGGATTAGCTTAGTTTTCAATTATATTCAAATCGAATCAATCGATAAGCCGAATTTCGCTTATCAGATACCCTATCAGGTGATAAGGTCAAATGAGGGACGTATTTGAACATTGGGAGAGCACGGAATTGATGAAAATTTTACTAGCTCTCATTCATTAATGAATTTCTTTGATTCGATCTACACCCATATGACTTCAAGTAATAAACACCTACAAAGAACCAGAATTATAGGAGATAATATTAAACAAATCGATCGATGTTGACAATTTTCCAGTCATTTAACAATTATTGCCTACTTTTTGGTGGCTGCGTACTGAAAATATTTTACAGAAAAGGAAAAGGAACATCTTTGCTGAACTGGTTAAATCAAATTGTTATTCATTAATAGGGTCGTGAATATACAATCTTACAAATACATATGATACCTTTGATTATTTAACAATATATAGAATTCACATAAATTTATTACTCGTAAATCTTCTACAATGAATATACTATAGACTACTCTGGGAAAGAGTTTTCTTATTATAATTATAATTAAATTACTTTATTTAGCCCTTATAATCTATCCAAGGAATCAGAGGACTCCTTAATTTTTTCACTGTCTCCTAAAGGGGGAACTTCTTGGATCACCTCTTTGTGGGCTACCCCTAATTCTGGTTGCTTTGGCAGAAGATAATCCTCCGCATCCCAAGGCTGACACACAGCCGTTCCAAAGACCAAAAAGACGCAGTTCCCCAGGAAGAAGAGGACAGAGGCTACAATAAACACAATCTGCCACTCAGAGCGATTACTCTGAAAGAACAAGGCATTACAAATTATTTAATAAGAAATTAATCCATCAAAACTCACCTCATCTTCGACGATTAAACCAACCACCAAAGGAGTAACAATGGGTACCACATTGGCAGCCGTATTCACGATGCCCATCAGGATGCTGGCATGGTTCGGCGACAGGTCGATGGTGTTCAAGGAAGTGCCTATGGTGGCACCACTATTCATGCCCACACTAATGGTCATAAGGACAATGGCCACATTCTTCTGATCCTGGTCCACGAATCCTATACCAATCAACGTGGCACAGGGAACCCAAAAGGCTAGCGAGTTGAAGGTCTTCCTCAAGGCTGTCAAACTGAGTTTGTTTCCAGAGAGCAAAAGATCGGCGGTGACCAGGTAAACATAAGACATTATCCACATGGCTAGGAAGGGCAGAGCGGAGAAGAAGGCATTGTCCTTCATATCCATGTCTAGGACACCATTCATGTATGATGGAATCTCTGCCTGCAATGTGCTTAGGCCCCAGGACTCGCAACAACGCGCCACCAGGAGAGCCAGGAATGGAGCGGAGGTCAAAATGGCCTTCCACGGAATGGGTATGATTGTCTTGTGATAGTCGTCATTATGCTGCAGCGAGGATTCTATATAGTTTAACTCTGCCTCGCTTATAAAGCGAGACTCCACTGCATTGTTGGCTGAGAAAATGAACCAGAGGGCACACCAGAAGAAGGCCACTCCCGCGGAGACATACGAGATACCTGGCCAGCCGATGGAACTCTTGGCGATCATTCCGCTCAGGAACATGGCACAGACGTTGCCACACTCGATGCCCGTGTGACTTAGAGCCCCCAAGCGATTCCTCTCCTTCGGAGGAGACCACCTGGCCAAATGCTGATGGATGCACGGAAACAACAGCCCCTGAGCGAAGCCCATCAGCACTCGTACTCCGCAGTAGGCCTGCCATCCGCCAAAACTGATGAACAGAGGCGTTAGCGCACTGAAGACGCCGGAGGAGAAGGATCCCCAGAACATGACACTTTTCACGCCATATCGCTTGCAGAGATATCCGCCCAGGAACTGGGTGAAGATATAACCCCAAAAGAAGCTGGACAGGATGTAGGACTTCTGCGAGGTTGTCCAATCATATTCCTGTTTAAAACAAGGGTTTAGAAAATTACAATCGTTCGAAACTCGTACTTAAACATCTTACTGGAAAATTTGGATTCGTAGACTCCGCATTAGTCATGGCCACCACGGACACGCCCACATTAAGGCGTCCAATATACAAGCAGGTGATGTTCAGGAAGATTAGCAGCGTCTGAACATGTCGCATCCCCAGTACGGGACCTGCAATAATTGGGAGGGAATTACTATTATTTTCAGCAGGAAAATCTGAAAAGCACTTGAAACGTAGTGTTATCGCATTTCCAACATTCCAACAGCGGAACGATTTATAACCCCTTCGAGCGTCACATGGATGTGGTACGTGGAATTTATCAGTCAACTGTGGACAGACCCCGAAAAGTATGTCAAGTTTATGGGCCGAATATCAAAAACAATGGATTAAAGTCCATTATATAAATATGGCAAAGCGTTTTCAGTTACGATTTATTTATTATTTCATTTCACTTCACTTTTTATTTAAGGTTATTATTATTAGCTGTTTTTTTATTCCTTTATTTGTATTTGTTTAATGGTGTTTATTAGGTTTGTGCACGATTTTGGATTTTTTCAATTAAAGATCAATGTTTAGATTTTCTTGTCACAGAGTTATTACTTTTAATTTATACAAATCTCTCTTTTAAATGTTTTTACCTAAAGGATAATAATTTATATTATTTTTATCCCGAAGGAAAACTCTTTATTTTCCTTTATTATTGGAATCATAACGTATCCAACTATTTTCCTTACCTTTATTTATTTCCGCTGTCATCGTTAAAAGGTGCTTTCCGTTCTTTTTCAAAATGAATCCTTCAACGTCCGAGTTTGTCCACTAATTGAACCCAAATGAACTGTGCTAACACCACACCCTAACACGATTTGCAATCATTTGAGCTGATAAGCAACATTTGGCTAATCGGTTAGATTATCCTATAATGATAAGGTTTCAACGCGTGTGTGCTAACACTAAGAGATCATGTCATGGCTTAAGAGAGCCTGGCACGCGATTAGGATCATAAAACTGGAATATCATTCGTTATTCCACGAATAGTTAATCTAATGCGCAAATAAACCCCCTTTTACTGATTATAAATAGTATTATCATGTAATAATATGTATTATGATTCCATAAATAATACCTAATGAATTCTTAAAAACTGACCTAAGTTAACCATAAGAGTTAGGCGATCTTAATTAGAAAGATTAGCTGATATCTCGACAGATGGTGGAGAGCCTCTTGAAGCACGCAAAAAGGGAACTCAACTCAAAGTTCACAATCTAATAATAACCCAGGTTATAGAAACATATTTTTTTATCCCAACAGAGCTTGTTACAACACCTACTCTTATTATCGATTTTTTCAATTTGTAGTCTTTCTGGTCTTGGAAACACATGTCAATTTAATTGAAATAACCATCGATCTTAGTTTCAACTGTCACATACGTCAATTCTTCGGTTGTTTACGATCAGTAAGTACACCCACAGACTCTAATAGTAATCAGTGTTTCCTGATAATACAAGTTGTTTGTAGAACTTTTGCCGAAAGTTAATTCAATGACAAGGTCGCAGTGTAATCAGTTGATATTTCCTATTTTATTTACATCTTAGATTACTCATTGGGAAGACTTTGAACTTACATATTAAATCCTATAACTATTGTAACAAAGACTCTTGTAAAACAAAGAGTCCCGGACCAGCCGTAAGTTAATTTCAATGGTATTTTCGAGTTACAACTTGGGTGATCATTGCACTACAAATGCTCTTCTGTGCGCTCCAAACCGGCTTCACTTTCTTTTCGCTTGGCTTCTTGCAACTCCTCACTTATCCTAGCTTCCAGAGCTTTGGCACCAACTCCTTGCTCTTGAAGATTAAGGGATCGTTGGCTATCTAAAAAGTCGGGTGCATCCCAAGGTTGATTAACCATTTGACCAAAGATCAGGTAGATTATATTTCCCACAAAGAATATAACGGCCGCAATGATGAATACGATTTGCCACTGAGTGCGATCATGCTGCAAGGATTACAAATAATTAAATAAGAATTAAAAATTTAAATAAAAGTACTTTGAACTCACATCATCCTTGACGATAAGTCCCACAAGGAGGGGCGTCAGAATAGGCACCACATTGGCTGCCGTGTTGATAATCCCCATGAGAATGCCCGCATGATTTGGCGACAAGTCAATGGTGTTTATTGTGCTGCCAATCGTAGAGCCCGCATTGATACCCACATTGGCACACATCAGGACCACGGCCAGGGTCTTCTGGTCACTGTCCAGGAAGCTAACACCGACCAGGGCAATTGCAGGCACAAAGAACGCTATCGAATTCACGGTCTTGCGAATGCCAGTGATGGACATGACGCCCCTGGTCAGCAGAATGTCTGCAACGATCAGGTAGACGAAGGCCATCATCCAGGAGGTAAAGTACGGCAGGGCCGAGTAAATGGCGTTGCTCTTCATGTCCATCAACAGAACACCGTTCATGTAGGCAGGCATTTCGGTCTGCAAGGTGGAGTAGCCCCACGACTGGCAGCACCTGGTGATCATAAGAGCCCAGAAAGGAACCGATGTCCAGATGGCCTTCCAAGGTACTGGAATGGGTCCATTGGCCTTCTGCTCTGCCTCCTCCGCTTTCCGGCTGGAATTGATCGAGGTCTCGATGTAGTTCAGTTCCGCTTCGCTGATCATCTTTGATTCCCTTGGTGTATTGGCTCCGAAGATCAGCCAGATGATGCACCAAAAGATGCCCACACCACTGGACACATAGAATATCCCGGGCCAACCGATGCTGGAGGCAGCTAATAATCCGCTGGCAAACATAGCCACTAGGGTGCCGCAATCGATACCCGTGTTGGCCAAGGCGCCCAGCCGATTCCTTTCATTCACCGGACACCAGTTGGCCAGGTGAGCATGGATGCAGGGGAAAAGGAAGCCCTGGAACAGGCCCATTGCCATTCGGATGGCGCAATAAGCTTGCCAGCCGCCCCAGGATACGCACCAAGGCGGCAGCAAGGCCAACAGGGCCGATCCAATGGTGGACACGAACATGGTAATCCTTGCTCCATAGCGCCTGCACAGCCAGCCGCCCAGGAACTGCGTCAGTATGTAACCCCAGAAGAAGCTGGACAGGATGTAGGATCGCTCCATTTCATTCCAATCGTACTCCTGCGGAAAGTAAAAGGATAATTCACTTGATCTTGAGGGTAAATAACCGCCTTGGAACTTACAGGAAAGTTGGGATTGGTGCTCTCGGCATTTGTCATGGCCACAACAGCCACACCAGCATTGAACTTGGCCATGTAATTGACCACAATGGAGGAGAAGAGCAGGAATGCCTGCAGATGCCGCTGCCCAATAATGGGACCTATTGGATCAGAAATATATATCCTGTGAGTACCGAACTAAATTGATTCCCAATTTTTGGAACTAGAACTTGGTTAGTTGGATTACCATTACGTTGTTAGTTATGTTGTTTCCTCTATATAATTACTTTCATAGTGGAGAAACAACTTAAATCAAAATCCAAAGTATGTTTATAAACTAATTTATATACTGATTCCTTTTGACTTGAATTATTTACAAATTAGGAATATTCAATAAAAGGATCTACGTCCTTAGAAGTCTAAAAGTACTCTTTTACCTTTTATTTAAGGACCTTTAACTAACCTGTATTCGTTTCCGCTGTCATATTCGCACCACTTGAAAAATCGCACCGCTCGCTTTAGAGATCTGAATGGAACTCAACTCTTAACTGGCAACTAGCTGACTTTACACCTCGCACTTAACCGTGGAGCTAATCGTACTCCGACCAGACGTCAGGTTTCAAGTGATACCAGCCTAATGGACACCAAATCAGTGCACTTCACAAACACGATATCGATAAGGAAAGGAAAACCAACAATGAAACTAAGCGTCTGTACTTGTAAAGCCGAACCGATAACAATTCTCATGAACGGGCAACCGGACAAGCGGAGAAGTGATAGTGTCAGAGGATTGCGACCGCCTCCTGGCGCTTGTAATCCGGATGCGATAGCGATAGAAAGGGAAAGGCCCCTTAGACGGCCTTAAATCTTTTGAGGACGTCACCGATGCTCCCCATGGCGGCTATTGTCCATCAAAGTCATGCTAATCAGCGCCAGGGGCTTAAGGTGCTTAATCTTATCGCTGGCCCAGAACTTGCGCCGGAACCCCCACTTTGACTCCCATTCCCTTTCACCAGACTGCCAGAACCAGACCGAAAACCAGAACCTTTCGAGAGTCAATGTGTGTGAAGTCACTCCACTGATAGCGAAAGTGGTCGAATCAATCAGGGCGCCAGGCACGAGCGGCTTATCGGCATTAGCTTTCTCTCTCCCTACCTCTCTATATACTTGTACTTTATTGGACTATATAACGACTTAGAGTACTCTAGACTTAACATATATTTGCTTCACTGTGTGCCTCAGCGGCTCTCCTCCTCCTCCTCCTGCAGACGCAGTATATCCGCCTTATTGATAAAGTAATAGCTTGGCTGTCTTCCCTTTAGATCCTTGGCCGTGCGCTTGGCTCCATTCTGAATTAGAATCCGGCTAACGCTCTCCAAAGCATTGGTGCCCATGGCATAGTGCAGGACTGTGCGCTCCAGCTGGCGGGGATTTGATGGATAAGCTGGATTAGGAGGCCCCAGAGGTATCAGTGATAATCCAATTACTTACATTATCGGTGATCTTCAACGTTTCGGGGCAGATCTTCACCAGATGCTGCACCATTTCCTCGGACTCCTTGAGCACCGCTATGTGCAGGGCCGTTCGACCTGAAAGAGAAGGTTAGCTATCATCAGAGAAAGCTCTTATAAAAAATATATTCCTACCATAGTAGTTCTTGGTCTTGATTAACCACTTGGCATTGGCAACAGCTGTCAGTTCCATCACACGCTCCATATTGTTGTCCCTGATCATCTGATGCAGTTCCTCGCGGGTCTCCTCCAAGCCTCGTAGCTTGCCCAGGAACTCGGAGAGGGCGTCGCTCTGTCGGGATTGAACCACATCGATAATGGACTGACCACTTTCGTCCTCCACGTCCAGGATGTGATCGTAGCCTTGGAGGGCGAGTTGCTCAAAGGGTTCCACGTCGCCTGGGGATGTAAGAAACCAATAGAAAGTAAGCCATAGAAGGATATAGGTAGTTAAGCTTACCAATAACGGCCTGAGCTAGAATATAGCGATCGATCTCTGCCGCATTGTTGGGCTGATTGGCCTGCAGCGAGACATCCCTTGCTGTTCGATATAGCTCATCTCGGTAGGTGATATCAATGCCCGACTCCTCGATGAGTGTGTAAAGAGCTCCCCGTCGATGGGATCTGGCGCAGGCAAAGTGCAGCATGCTCTGGCCATGTTCATCGCGCTCCTCCAAGTGCTGCACCGCCAAGGCGCCCTCGGCATCCTCCTCCTCCACCATGGAGCGAGCGTCCAGCTCGATGAGATCTGCATTGGTTGGACCAGGACCATTTCTAGTGGTTTTCGATTTGGCCATAGCCATGGTGGAGGTGGAGTTCGTGCTGGCCTTGCTGCTTCCCGAGTGAACCTGGACCTCGGTCATTGGTCTGCGCTCACCCATGAAGTGCTGGAGGTAGTTTGTCAAATAGGCCACCGGATCACGGGGTCGCTTGTTGGCTATTTCGGTAAGGGCCTTGATCAGAGGATCAGCGAGAGCTAAAGGAAATTAAAGATTAGTTTTAAAAGTGATTTGTACTCAAAAGATACTCACAATCAGCCAGATATTTGCCCTGCTCCGTCTTGAAGATGGGATTGGCCTGAAAGCTTACCGGCTGCGCCTGACCTGCGAGGAAGACAAGCTGAATTAGTCACTCCAGAAGGCGAGGATTATTTTGAGGCACACTCAATGGGTCGAGTCCCAAAAATCTATGTACACAAAGCGAGAGGAGAAGCGTTTCCTTGAGAGGGAGAATGAAGGGGCCGGGGTAAGGAAGGAGTAAACAAACGAAGATGAGGATGCCGATGCCGGTGGAACTCAAGAGACTTGGCAAATCATATTGAAATCGTGACGAGATCACAGTCCTGGGGACAAGACACTCATACGGACACGGTTACGGATACGGATACGACTAGATAGGTGTAACTCAAAGCGGCACTTACGATTGCGGATTGAGTTTAAGCGCAGCATGAGCGGAGGAGAATTGGGATGAGAACACGAGTTTAGTTTAGATATATAAAATTGGGGCTTAGGGTTTAGGGCTGAGGTTGTTGATTTCATATATACAGGGATTTCGCTCTAGGGCCCTGCTCTTAGTTGCGGTCCACGATGCTGTTCTTCTTGCGCCTGAAGATCTTCACCAGCATGGTGGCAATGTGCTTGGAGTTGGTCAGTGACATGTCCTTTTCCAGCGACAGGATGTTCGTGACTGCCGTGCAGTAGTCCTGGAACAGCACGTACTCCACCACGCCCATGCTTTGCATATTTACAAGGCGCACGGTGAGCTTCGAGAGACGATTGGTCACCATACTCAATCCCCGGACGGAGCACAGGTGCCTTAGGTTATCCATCTCCTTCATAAGATTTGGCAGCTTCACGATGGCGGTCATCTTGAGGCCAGTGCCCAAGTAGCTGGGCCTCGACTGCAGATATCCCAGCAGGTAGCTCTCCTTGAAGTGCAGCTGCGTCTCCAGGTAGCTTATGGCACGGCCCACTCTCGTGTAGGCAGCGCCCATATCCGCTGGATCTTTGCTGCTTGTGGTGGAGATCACCCGCAAGTGCTCCTGGCAATTCAGCCACACGGCCAAGTTGTGGGCCGAATTAACAAACACTCCCCGGCCATAGGGCCACAGGGCTCCATTGAAAGCCGTGGACTCGGCAGCCTGCACCAGATCCTTGGTGTCCAGCAGAGGTATCATCAGACCCAGGCTGCTTAGCATCATGGCCACCTCCGAGTCAGCCTCAAGGAGCTCAGTCAAGGTGTAGTAGTTTCCCGAGTCAGTTTCTCCTATGGCATCCGCAAAGTTTGTCGTAAATATCTTGCCCATCATCAGCCGTTCCGCCTGCTCTAGCTGGCCAATTGTGAGGTTCAATGGCAGCTCCAGTTGATCCAAGTTCCTTGAGGCCTCCACCAGACAGCGGGTGACCAGCAGGGACTCGTCGTCAAACACAAAAGCCGCCGTATTTAGTCTTTCGCCATTGTCCATGGGGAAGTAAGCCAATCGGGGTTGGGGCTTAAAATCAGCATCGATGCTTAAGCAATGCATGTCCTTTAGCAGCGGCACCAAGAACTCCTGGAACACCACAAACACATCGAAATCTGGTGCAATAATTCCGCAGTTAATATCCTCCTCCAAATGGCGTGCCTTCGACGTCTTCCGCATGGCGGGCCACAGGACATCGAAGAGATTGTGATCGAGTCGTGTCTGACGACGCTTTATCTTCTCATAGACCCCGCGCTTGAGGAAGCGGCTCAGGTAGCTGGTCACCGATAGCTGCAGCGAGGAGGCACTCAGCGGTTTCCGGTGGGCCAGAGCCGAGGCCGTGGTGCCACTCAGCAGCTTGCCCGACTCCGAAATGACGCTGTAGCAACGCTCCAAGGTCCTGGATATCTCGCCATCCTGCAGCTCCCGTCGAGCACTGTGCAGGTCGTCGGGAACTGCATTCCGTAGCAGCATTTGGTTGGCAATTTTCGATTTGGATTATCAGTTTATGCACACAAACACACAACAGACGCAGACACACCAAAGCGTTGACAAGGACACAGATACAAAACACCGACCCCAAATGACATAGAAACGGATGAGAGGATTCAAGGATGTCTGGTGCTGATGGTGCTCAAGAAAAAAGGCGCAGGTGCTTGGCCGGAAATGCGCAGCTTACGTACCGAATATGTCATCGATATTGCTAATGATTTCATTGAAAAATTCATTGCGATTTCCCTCCATTTCTTCTTCTGTTTTTGTTTTTATTTTTATCACGTATACGCAGTGCTGGACTCGAAGCAACCGTATCACGTATACGCCGAGTAGGACGTGTGCTGCACGGTGCGACCGAAAATCGATGACTGACTGAGTTCAACTAGCCCTCGGCGAAACAGAGCGGAGTTTTTCTAGCCCTAGAGCCACCGAGCTCCCTCCCGGGCCACAACCCTACCTCCCCCCCTCCCTGCCGGATGTGTTTGACTTGGCAAACAAATGTACTTAATTATTTCGGTTTACCTTCGCCACGCGTGTGTGTGGGTTCGTCGGCGTCGTGTGTGGTGTGTGGTGTGTGGTGGCCAGCGAAAGCGAGTGTGAAAACAAAATCGCCACTAAAGCTTGGATCGGGTGTCCCGAATGAAGGGCTTGGATGGGTGACCAATGGAGGGATGATTGGTTGAATGAATGGATTGATGGATGGGCGAAGCGGTCAAGCTGGAACAGCTGCAGGTGGCCTCACGCCCCTTACCCTGGTCGTTGAGCAACTGGTTCTCCAGTTCCTCGGCCCCGAAAATGTTGAGCAGCTCGGTGTAGTTGAGTATGTTTTTCGCCTTGTCCCTGTCCAGGTAAAACTCGGCCGAGTGGCCCAGCTGCGTGTGTTTGGTTATTGAATTTTAAATATCTTGTTATTTTTATTCATTTTCTGTCTAATCACATATTTATGGCCTATCGATTCCCATCAGCCAGAGCAATAGACATTTGAAAGTCAAGACTGCTGGCAGTGGCTAGCAGAGCCTTGGCCCATGTTGAAAGGCGGGTTTGGGTTTTAGTAAGTAATTTAAAAACAATTTTCGTTTGTCATTAAAAATGCTGAAACAGCTGGCTAATTTCTCAAAACTACTAGAAGTACGAGAAGCTTCTATTCATGAGTGAATGCCTTCTTTTTTAATAAGGAAATGCCATTATTCTTGCTCTATTATATACCTTAAATTGGGAAATTTAGAGAATGAATAATTGGAGGCACTCAGAGAAAAACTAGATGTAACAAAAATATATAATAAAGAAAGGAAAAGAGGAACTTAAAATGTTTAATCGCAAAATACACCTTTAAATATAATTTTATATATTTTTTTTGTTTAACTTTATAACATAAAGTAAATAAATAAATACTTTTGATTTATATGTTATATATAATATGGTGAACCTACTTTAGTAGCATTATCCTTTAACGCAGGAAGCTTCAGACATTCTATAATAACTTTAAATTCCTCAATCTGCTATTTTTTTACCTGCTGGTAATTGCGTGTCCTGACACTCCACTTACCTTGTCCAACGATTTGGGATTGGCACCCAACTGCAGAAGCATGTTGTAAAAGTGACCATTGTCCTTAATTGTGGCTGCGTAATGAAGCGGCGTGCGCCCGTCATTATCCGTAATCGTCATGGTCTCCGGGAAACGGGAGGCCAAGTACCGAACGATGTCTGCGAAAGGGCAATCATATATATAAATATAGAAATCCAGAACTGGCGATGGCAACACCTACCCGTGTGGCCAAAGAGCACGGCCACGTGCAGGGCCGTGGAGCCGTTGGGCGATATGTCGTCCTTTGCAATGGCAAACTTCCGGCGATCCAGAGCCTGCTGCAGTGCCAGCAGGCCGCCGTCACGTGCCGCGTCGTGCACGCGATGGATTTTCTCCTGTCGAACGGGAAATGTATATATGATGCATGCCATAATTAGTGGGCCAGAAAGTGGCTCTTCCTTTCCAACTTCCTTCCTGGCTTGTGGTTCACTCACCATATAGCTGGGCACGTTGTTGAGAAAGGCCTGTATTTCCGGCTCCGGCGACTTCAGGCCCATCAGGCGTCCCCCGTCGCCATTCAGCACGATCTCGGCCAGCTGCTCCAGGTCGCCGGACTCGACAATACGCTGGATGCGCGTATCCTGCGAATGATATGGAAACAACATCTCAGATGAGGTGACAAGATGTGGACACACACAGACGTGACTTTTGAGTGCATCATTAAAAGCATTAAGGGTGAGATCCTTGGGGTTTTGTTAATTATCATCATAAAACTCGATGGTCTGCATTAATGAGTGAGTCAAGTCAGGTGCGAAAATCAAAATCAAGCCAGGTGAGCCAGCAACAGAGAGATAGAAGGGGAGAGAGACAGGGTGATGTGACAGATAGAAAAGGGATAGCATTGTATACTTCATCAATTGCAGTTTGAGACTGAACTGTATAATCCTCGGGTGCTCCCTGCACGAAACCCTCGATGGCCATGGCTGATGTCAGGGACTCACTACCGTCCTCCTCCGGCGGCTCAGCTGCTCCTCCCTCCGCCAGCGGCTTGCCCTCCTTGCTGTCCGAAGCTATTACATCCTGTATGGATTTATTGCAACGCTTAACAATTATGACTTTAATGATGAGACAGTGCGCCAGATACATGGCTACAAGGTGCAGAGTCACATACATAGATACATGAAATAGGATAAAAGATTACTTTTTACAAGAGGACTAATTCTGGTGCAGCTACAGGTGACAATGCCAGCTCTGCTGTTACAGGATACTCGACAAATTAAACACTTAATTTAATGGGAAAATAGCCATACATTTACTTTAATTGTTAGGTCTACCAAGGACTCTAGGCAATTAACTTGTTTGATGGCCCACGTGGCGTGTAAGCGATATTACGCATACGCCTGCCTTCATTGAAAATAGTTGGTGCAACTGCCATAAAAATGAACACCGCCCACCAGGCACTGCACTTGATTATCCCTAACAAATCGCTCTAGGGACTGCAGCGCACTTCGCCTACTTAGTATATATTTAGATATATGGAACTGTAGTATATATCAAATATCACATATCTAATGCCTGCAACTGTTTTCTGACGTTTGCATGTTCAGTTCCCATTCGCATCCACCGACAACTGGATGCCGCCACTGACAGTTGAGGACCGAGCTCCGAACCCGACTCGACCTCAGGCTCCGTTTGCCGTTGCTTTTGCCGTTTCCGTCGCCGTCGCTGTCTCTGTCCCAGTTGGAAATGTCAGAGACCAGAAGGGAAAGTGAAAATACATGCCGGTCGGAGTGCATTATTATAAAGCCTATCTGCGGGTAAACAGCTGCTGATTTTAGCCAATCGATAAGCACAAATTGGGGGCAGACACTGGCATTGGTTCGATCTAAGGCAACAATAATAATAACGCAAACACACACACACACAGAGAGAACTGAAACTGAAAGGGAAAAGGATACGGATGCGGATACGGAAACGGATACGGATATGGATAAGAAAACACACGGATTCCGGGGTGCAATAGAATGAACAAAAAAACGATAAGGCAGAGAGATAGACACAAGTTGCACAGGTTTTGCATTCCATTATTTAATTGGTTACTATAATTGCTACGGCTATATAGATATTGTTAGAGAGCAGAACATGTAACACACTTGCTTTACAAATTATAAATCTATATATATATATATATATATATATATATACGTAGGATTTTGATAGTTCGCTATCTAAGCGGACTTTTTGCTTGAAGTTGAAGTTGATTACTAAAGTTTCGTTGCGGCTGAAGTAAGTTGCTCTTTGCTGTGGCTCTTGCAGTGTTTAAACAAATTGATATGAATGGAATTTTCGGGTGCCTGCGGCTGCAGTTGATTGAAATTGAGATATATATAAATATATATATAGGATTTGCGTTTGATTTTGAAGGTTTTTTCATTAAATTAGTTTCTCATGTTACAGGTTCACATTGACGAGGAAATAAAATGGGATTGAGCGTACGGCACATACAAAACGTGAACAAACTACAAAACACGGCTCGAGGACACTTAGAGCACGCCCATCTGTACCTCATCATCGTCATCGTTCTCGTTCTCGTGCTCATCGTTATCGATTTCATTCTCTTTATCGTCTTCGTTACGGATCTCCACATCATTGCTTTCGATAGCCCCATCCCCTGGTTCCTCGGGTTCCTCCTCCTCCTGACCCTCTGCGGGCTTCTTCTGAGCAGCCTGTTCTAGCTCCTCTTCCGGTTCCAGTTCCACTTCAGTCTTTTTGTTTCCTTCTAGCTCACTCTCTGTAGCCGACTCTTCGGGTTGCTCTATGTCCTCAACGCCCTCGGTCGCCGCTGGCAACTCATCCTCCTCAGCTTGAGACTCCTCCTTCTCCTCTTCGGATTCGTTATTGTTGCCATTCTCCAGGATCGCTGCATCTCCGCCTCCATTCTCATCGCCTTCGCCTTCGTCTCCGCTTATAGCTCTTGCAATATTCTGTAAAAGTAAACAATTGTCGACTGATTGCTTTTCAAAAGTGTTTCAACAGTTTCTTTCTACGTTCCTTCGATCTCAGCCTATATACAGCAGGGTATAGAAGGGATTTCTTAACAAAAAGCGCACAGTGCCGAGCGAGAGACAGAGAGATGGGGGGAAAAGCTGGAGCCGACAATGGCTTACTTTCACAGAGTCTCCAAACCACCGAAAAAGCAATTTCATTATTTAATTAATTCATTAATTTATGCAAAACACTGAAAGCCTCCTACAGAAGGGTGCAAGCAAAAGCCAAAGCTAAACCATCGAAAGCAAAAAAGAATGTTTTTGGGGGAGAGGGTAGGGTAGTAAAGCAACAAGGCAGCAGGACTTACCTCGGCCTCGCTGCTGTCATCATTATCGTGATCGCCATTGCCGTTACCATTGATTGTGTTGAAGGTGCCCGGCGTTTCCGGTCGCCGCTGCAATGGCGATGCAATGGCCTCAACTTCCGGCTCCGCATCCGCCTTGGACAGATCGTCATCCTCATTGGCACTCGTACTGCGATTTCAAAATGCAAAAGATTCTCTCTCAAAAAGCCATGCCACCCAAAAAGAACAAAAAAACCAAACACCACCAAAAAATACACACTACTCAAAAAAGAGGCAGAAGCGCAGGCGGCAGCCAAACTTAAGCCAAGTCTCGGGTCTAAGACCCATGAAGCTTCTCCCTAGGATCCTAGAAGCACCCCCACCAACTTACCCATCGTTGGTGTCCAGCTCCGAGGCGTTCTCAAGGCTGTCGTCCAGAGACTTTCGACCATTTCCCACCGGCGCCATCTTCATGTCCATTTTCTAGGGGTATATACAGAGCAGCAATTAAGGTGGAGGGAATCCCCAAACCCAACCGCATAGTCACCTTGGAACTGGAATCGCCACCCGCGATACTGTCACCACCAGTCTCATCACTCAGGGCCTCCCAATCGGTGACGCTGTCGGGGGAGACACGCGGCGCATCCGGCACATAAACCAGGAAGGCTCGCTCGATTTCGTGCGGTTTGTGGCGATAGTACGAAGGTGTCTTCATTTTCTGAAATTGCCGCAATGAATCATTTTAATTGCTGCCCAAGTACACTTACTGGCTCCCCCATCGATTTTTAGACAAGAGAAGCTACCGAAAACTCTTTCTAATAGAGTAAAGTAAGAGATATTCCTTAGGTTCCTAAACAAAACGGACTAATAGTAGCCCTTTGGGCAAGGAGGTTATTTGTTATGTGTAAATATGTATTTAGAGGTCAGCTAACTATTCCTTAATAATAGATGTGGTATATTATTACTTGCAATAACATATGCCTGCCAAGAAACTGGTCAAGGCTTCTGAGCTTGACAAAGGTCGGTTATAAATGATACAAGAACAAGGAAGCGCAAAGAGATACTCAAACCCAAAAGTTTCCTGAAGACTCCCTACTCACATAGTCGACGGCCTCCTCATCGCAGCCCGCTTGGGTGAGCAGGGTGTAGCATCGCATGTTGTTCTTGGCACTGGCGGCCCAGTGGAGCGGCGTCTTGCCCGTGATGTCCGTCTCGTGGGCACCCTCCGGCCAAATGCCCACCAGATACTCCAGGATCTTGGTGTGCCCGAGGCCAGCGGCCTTGTGAATCACATTGAGACCGTTGCCATCCTTGCAGGTGACCAAGGCACTAGGTACCGGTGGCTCCAAATGTGACTGCACATTCTCCAGATTGTTATCTATGACAGCCTGGTGCAGATCCTTGATGGCATTCTATGAGTGGGTGGGGGGAAAATGAAACTTCCTTCTGCTGGGCAAAGGGAAAAGGGGTTTCTCCTTACCATGACATGGGGAACGGCGGCCAGGAAGCGCTTCACCCGCCCATTGTTGCTGGCCTGTTGGCTGAGCCGATTCCCTTGGCCCGCCCACAAAATGCGAGTGAGCTTGCCGATGTCCTTCTCGTGCATCCAGATCCGAATGGTGGATAGCTTCACCGAGAAATCTATTAGCCGACAAAATGGGAAATTGAAAATGTGCAAATTAATTTCGAGCCAGCCCCACCCCTGATCCCAGACCCGATTCCCAGTTCGGATTCCAATCCCCTAAACTTATTGCGATTTCCATTTCATTCGCGCCCTCGTTCGTGTCTACATGCAATTTGCCGAAAAAAATGAAAGTGAAGCCAAGAAGCCCCAAGAAGCACAAGAACTGAAAACTAAATTAAAACGAAAATAAAATGCAATGAATGTTCAAGTTCTGTGACTCCGGGCCCTTTCGCTTAAAGTGGCATTAGTGGAAACTTGAGACAATTTCCGCCGGCGAAACTTTTTTCGCCAACTTGAAATGCTTCAAGGTCGTCGACGGTGCTAAACTTGTATCCACAGAAGGCTAAAAAGTTACCTTAGATCGCCGCCCACTACTAAATCATTTAGTGCAGCATTTGGGAAAGGAACAGCTGGAGCTCCCCAGGTTGGAGGAGGAACTGCAGCAAAGATGCCGCCCCATTCAGAATTTTGTAATACGCACCTTCATTATCACGGCGTTTGCGTCCATTTTGTCCGCCTGCCTGTCCATTCATCGGCATGACTGCAATATAACCAGATTTACAGAAATTATATATATAGACTATAGAAATATATATGAAGTTGTGACTATAGATTTGATTTTAGAGAGAGCTAGTAAAAACATCGCCTGCTTGGAGCTACCTCACTTTCCTTGATTGCTTTGCTCTGTCACAATTTCGTTTCCTAATGCCAGTTATTCTTGCGTCTGGCCAGCTTGAGCCGCGTTGGCAAACTAATTCTTGGCCAAGTCGAAATCGAAAGGTGTTGAATTCGGGTCTGTGTTGTGGTCAGAAGCAGCGGCAAAGGAGAGCGACCGAGGGCAGAAGGAATAATTGCGTCCTGTTCGCGGTCTTCCAACTTCTGACATGAATAAATATCCCTAGGCAGTGTGGGTGTGTGTTATATAAAGCCGAAAGTCAACGTTTTCATTAGAGTTCCTAGCCAAAACAAATATGTGGAAATGGAATTTTCATTTGGCTGATTTCGAACTTGATTAGCATTCCATGGGGAAGCATTTTTTAGCCATTTTTATCGCACTCTTTTAGGTTTTGCAGTTGACACTTATAAACATTTTACTGCACTTTAGGTTATTTTTATTTGAGAAATAGGTATGATAGTTATTAAAGGGTACTTCTTTGGGGAAGAGTAGTATAAAATGCTTAAACCAATATAGAAATTAAGATTATGTTAAAGAATTATGAATAAGTATTATTAGGTATATTATGCTTAAGCAGGAAATGAAGCTTACTTCGGAAAAACGTAGTTTTCAGTTTGCAATTGGCCAAAAGGCCGACTATGAAATCTATCATAATTAAGCAAAAAATACATTTTAATGTTTTAAGTTAAATTAATCTGCATAATCAATTTAAAAATTTAAAATATTACAATTTTTATAAATTTTTGAACATTTTTTTTCTGCTGTGTCTAGATTGATTTAGTTTTTGATGCTGATCAAAAATATATATGATTTATTGCGTTGGAAATGAAAATATCTAAGAAATATATTCCATCTTATACAGAAAAACTTTTCTTCTTAAATTCTTCTCAATTATTAAAATATATTTCAGGTTTCTCCATTAAATACTCCAACTTTGGTAAAGAAATTATCGCTTATTGTAAAACTTCCGCCACAGAAAATTCCTTTGGATATATATAAATATGTAACAAGAATTTCCATTCCCATTCCCAGCATACTGGCAAGTTTCGCCACAATACTCCAGGTGGGGTATATCACCTCAACTTCTCCTCGGGAAATTCCCTTCTGACATATGGAAATAGTTCCCATTTACACTTTTTTCTGGGACCTTTTGACACCCACACCTACCTTATGTGTCAAGGTCTTCACCAAAGCTATTCTTGGGTCTCACACCTTGAGGAATTTGTGGTGGCAGGACCTACTTAGTGGCCGCCGCAGGACGAAAGCCGTTGAGGTAGTGACATGTAAATTAGGTGGCCGAGGTGAATCATTAAATTTCCATTCCATTCCATGGCACACACTCAGACTCACACACGACGATTTGAGTGGCAATAAAAAGCGCTCGAAATTGCCACGGAAATGGCGCATTAGTGTTTGCCACTTAATGTGGCAATCGCACCACAACTCCCGGGATCGGAGCTCCCCTCACATTGTAACTTGTTGAGCTGACACCCTTAACGGCACGCAATATGCAAATTTTGGCCAACGAAATAAAAAAATTGAACAGCTACATATTTCCCTTGGCGTGTTGTCACCACAATTTCCCTCAATTAGGATGAATGAATATATGAATATGTATGCATATAGAAAGAACACTCACCTTTTGGCGGCGATGAATGGTAGTAGAGTCCCTGGAACCTTCTTCGACGTTTCGGCGGCATCTCTATTCCTGTTATTTACTCCTTGAAATTCCTTTATGGTTTTTCGGGGAAACTTTTAGAGTCCGCGGCTCTGCACATCGCCCCAGTCGCGATCCATAAGGCTAGCTTTGGCACTGGAAAATCCTTTCTGAATGGGAACCACGTTTATGAAAATTTCAAAAGCTGAAGCGCTGGGCTCAACCGTTGTCCTGGCAAGTTCAACGACGTCTGAACTGACTGACAACTGCACCAGGTCAGCTGCTCAACTGGTCAATTTCTCAACTGGTCAACTGGTCAGGTCCTTGCGTGTGTGCATACTCAATGGGAAATGCGGGAAATCGGCTCGCGGGTAACGGTTGGGGAAAACCATAGGAAAATGGAACAACAAAAAATAGAACCCGGCTTGGGGGCGTTCCGAGAGTCACCGCTGCTTGGCCTCACACATGTGATTTTTATGTTTTATTTATTTATTTTACAATTGGCCACGACATCTAATGCACTCGGCTTGTTTCTGGTGGACAGAACATGGCCTGCTTGCAGGACAGGTGCCCAAAAACTAGGAAAAACTAGTGGAAAAGCGAGCAGAATCGCGTTGAAAACAAACCAATTAGCTGTGAATCGATTTTTCGACTTCGAAATGGGCATTTTATCGAATTGGGGGCAGGGAAGAGTATGGAAATTTGTATGAAGGAACAGGTCAAAGGGTCCTGCCCCAAGGTCCTGACGGTACAAAGACAGCACGTGCTTCCCGATGGATGAGTAATGGCTTGACCCCCGTCATACGCACTTGCGTGTGGTCAAAATTTAAAGACCAACTTGACACAGTTTCCCCAGGGAGCTGCGTGAGTGACTCCCAAGGTTTTTTCGCAACTCCTGCCGTCCCCCCAAAATTAGGACTCGAGTTGACCTAAATTTTAATTGTACCCGAAGGAGGCATAAAAATGTCAGTGCCACTTAGTCTGAGGTTAAAAGTGGTCAGGGTTTTGTTTTACATATTTGTCTCCAATTAGGCAACTTAGAAACGATTTATGAATTATTCATATGCTTTGGGGCTTTGCCATTTTCCACTTAGTGCACCCTTTGGGTGCAGGTGCATTGAACTTGACAGGACGTGACCGGAAGGATATGTCTTGACCCTGCTGTTTGTTAGAACTCTACACTCCACACTTGAGTCACAAATCACAGCCTTGCTTGCATACACTTCACTACTTTGCCGACGTTTCCGACTTTCCGATTTGCCGTCGCTTTCCGCTTTCAGCTTTTCCTTTTTTGCTCCGTTGTATCCGGTTTTTTTCGGGACTTTGTTTTTCGTTTCGTTTCGATTTGCACGACGCGCGCTTTCCTTGCAGACTGTGGCATATTCAGCGTTTCGTAGGTGTTTTATCTAATTTTTTCCTTCACGCACACCAACGGCCCAGGACCTCTGTGTTTGTGGGCGAATGTTTGGGCGATTGCTGTTACCCTTTTTTCGGTATCGAGTATTGGTAATTGCTGCCATCGCTTGCATGCGAACGCCAAAAAAAAAAATAAAGGAAGGAAAACCCACACAGAAATATTAGTAATGGGCGCAGGACCACCACGAGTGTGTAGCCAATGTTGAAAAATAAATGTGAGGAGTTTCTCTTACCAGTCAAGGAATTTTCAATTTTACTATCATTAACTGTCAGTCGGTTTTTGCAACTAATTTAATTGGCAATTTTCTCAAGAAACGGCCAAAGAAATTGACTAACTAATAAGAGTTATGGATATTTGTGGTGGTTTAGTGATTCCTCCCCAAAAAGATTATTTAATTAAGACCCAGAAATTTATATAAATATCTAATATATCTGGAAAATAATATATACTGTCTCGAAATTATATCCTTTAAGATTGTATCGTTTATGTATATTTGTCAGGCAGTTTTTCTTTTTCGGGGCAGCCTTGAACTTAATCTAGAACTTAGAACTTAATCGACTAAGGGAATTGTGGCCAGGAAGCTAATGGGCTATTGGCTGTTGCTACTCAGTTCGTCTGCGGAGACGTGTATGGGTTGGGTTAATTCGTTGTTTACATCAGAGATATCTAAGGAGTACACAGAATTAATAAAAGTGTATATAATACCGAAATATATTCCAAAAACTCACCTAAATGTGTTTCTTCAAGGTTTTGCGTTATGTTTACTAATTCATTAAAGGCCATGCTCCGTCTCCTTCGTGACCTTAAGCGACCCAAGCTAATGTGGGTCTTCTCCAAGGGCAGATCATCATCACCAAACTCCAGACACCTGCCGTATACGCAATATCGCTTGCCCACCTGCGAACAGCGCGTGCCCAGCGGAAACTGTCCATTCCGGCCATTCACCAGGTAGTAACGATACTTAATATACTCATCCTGACAACCCACCCGGCAGCTACGATCCGGCTCATCGATACTGGGCCAGATCTGCGCTCCGCGTCCTGATAAGCCACGCACCTTGGATCGGTACCGAGCGCAGGTCTGCTCAGCGAACTCTGTCGCTGTCTGGAGACGTTCGCAGGGCTGGACCCGGTATGAGCATAGCCGGATGCTCTCCACACCCGTCAGCCGGGATGTGACTCCCTGGACGCCCTTCGAGTCGGTCATACAGTTGGAGTGGCAACCCGGATGCACCACCCACTCGGACTCGGGGGAAGAACTCCGATCGATGGCGATCAGCGAGGCGGAGGCAGGCGGCGGCGGTCGGGAGATTTCTGGAGGATAGGGTTTCGGGTAGGGCCTCCGTTTGTAGGGCGCAGGTGGAGCACTGATGTGGTTGCCGCGGGGAATGCCCTTTGCCACCTCTGTGGGATTTGGGGAAAGGGTTATAACGCATATTCCGTACCTCTTTTAAAACATCCTTACCATTCTCATGGGGACTCCTTGGTGTGATACCCTGTTGCCGCTCTGCATATCGCTTGTTGGTGGTTTCCTGCCGGCTCTCCTGATCCGAGGAATCCCTTACCGGACGCCCAGACTTTCTTTCGCAGAAATCATTGTCCATCTTGAAGAAATTCGTGGTGGAATTGTCACAGGAGAAGCGCTCACAACGTCCGCCAATGCAATAGGTAATATCCTCAGGTTTATGTTGCTTCGATCGGCAGGATGTGCCATCGGGAAAGATCCACCTGCGCGACTTGGTGCCATTGCTCCTAGTGCGACAGAAGATCTTGCACGACTCCTCCAGCGTGGTGCTCAGCTGCTGGCCCTCGCCGGTGAGCTCCGGATCAGATTTCCTAGCCTGCAGGCACACCTTGGTGGCAAAGTCACCGATCGTCTGGAGTGGCACCTTGTGGCACTGGGCCGAGGGACAGGTCACAAATCGCAGATCACGTCCCATGCAGCGAGCCGGGTAATTCAAGCAACTGCGGTTGAAGGTCCTCAAGCCAGTGCTACCCTCCAGAAGGCGATGCGACTGGCCGTACAAGCAGCCCGACTCACAGGCACTCGGCTCGCTCCATTCGCCCCAGTTCGACGGTGATCCTGGCAGCTCATTACCCATTGGATTGTATTCATGCAGCAGGGATGGTATCCTGTTGGAATCATGCCGGATGATCTTCTCATGCGTGGGCTCAGCCACGTTCTCGTGTGTCCAGGATTTGCGTGAACGAGCTTCGCAGGTACCACCGCGACACCACTAAAGAAGAGAAGCTAAGTATAATATCTTACAACTTGGAAACAACCATGACCTACCATATTATCGCCACACTCAGTGCCCTCCAGCGCTGGATGCGAGGTCCAGGGTAATCCATCCTGCCGGCAGTGCAGATCCCGACAAATCTCCATCTTGTTTTGGCTGCTGGCCTGCTTAAAGTCCTTGCCAAACCGTAGCATGCATTGCTGATTAGCATTGAAGCGTTCTCCCGGCAGTATCCCACCGGCAGAGTGATCCAAATTGGCCACAAACTGGCCACGATCGAAGAGGCACTCCGCCTGAGGGTCCCTGTAAAAAGTTTAATACTTATATTAGCCTAATATTTCCTTCATAATACTTACAGTAGAAAATCCTCCAGATAAGTCCTTGAGCACTTGGACCAAGTGACCTTGCCACTGCCCAGTTTGGGGGACATGATGTGCATGGTGGGATCACAGCTAATCTCCTTGGCATCGTGCCTCATTCCCAAGCTGAAAATGATGCAATTGTTAATATGAACTTCTTCCGAAATCATCCATTCCTTACTTGTGTCCAATTTCGTGGGCCACCACAAAGACGCTCTCAAAGTGCTTGGCCTCGTTGATCGTGCAGGAGTATATCGAGGTGCACATGCCATTCACTGTGGCCATGCCCACCACTTGGCTATTGGCCTTGCCATTTTCGAAGGTCACCAGATCCATGCCGGTGAGGACCAGGGCATGATCGTAATGCAAGGGATCGGCATCGGAGTAGGGATTCATTTTCTCCTGCCACTTGCAGAAGGTGTTCAGGTATTTGTCCACGTCCCTCGAGCGAGACAGTCCCTGTGGTTCCCTCGGTTTCCAAATTTCCAGGCGTTTTAGGACAAAATTGATGCGACGACCCAGCGTGGGATGGTGATAGAGAAGCTGCACTCCATTGATCATGGCCATGACAAAGCTGATCACCTTGCCGTCCGTATCGGTGGGAAAATTGCGTTGCATATGCTCATAGAGATCGCTGTCCACGAAGATGGCCGTTTCAATGAAGAGCTCATCCGGAATATCTGACCAACGGGAGCGCGGTGGATTCCCTATGTAGCGTCTCGTCCTCCTCCGATGCCTAGGCTGCGAGTGGTGATGATTATGATGCGTATGATGATGTCGTGGCTGAAAGCGCAATCTCAGCGGCGACTGGGCCCGCAGACGCCTCCTCGGTTCGTTGAACTCCTCCGCATCGGGCTCGAACTGCAACTGGCTGTTTAACGGTTGCGGTGTCCCGTCATTAATCCGCCTTGACGACACCCCACCACCAGAGCCGCCCCTGTCCACCCGGGCCTCATAGAGCACATGGGTCCCGGTGCCGAAGCGCGAGGGAAGCGGTTGGATCACAAAGTCGCTGGCATTCTGCTGGAACACGCCACGCTATGAGGAGTCAAGGCGTGAACGATGTCATTAATCGTTGGGGATAAGGGAAAAACCAGCACTCACCACACTGCCCGGCTCGCAGAGATCGAGAGCAGCCGCTGGACTCCGGTAGAAGCATTGCTCCAGGCGCTTCAGCAGCTGCGGCGAATGATCCACAAACTGTGTCCCATTTTCGGTGCGCCGGATGAAGATGAAGGCGTCGTCGATCAGCTGGGGAGACTGATGCAGCTGCAACCTGGCCTCCACTGCCTTGGAGTCATCATCATCATCATCATCATCTGTCGAATGCATTTGAATTAATTAAACATTTGCGCATAATAATGACCGCAACTGGAGCAGCACGAACTGCTGCTGGCAGATGTGGATTTCGCGCTCTCTGGATTTCGATTTAAATTCGAATACATGGATTCGGTATTGGCACTTGAGCTATTTTTCATTTACCTTGTTGTTCTGCTGGCAGGCTGCGGCGCTGACGTCGTCTTGGGGGATTCCCCTCCTTTAGATCCTCTATTGGATTCTCCTCCTGTGGATTCTCCTCCTGCTGCGCCAAATGCACGAGCTTAAAATTGAGTGCTGCCAGGTAAACAAACAACATAAATGCCTGCCATGAATCAATGCGAACAACTGCACAGATTTCCACGCCCCTTCGCTACCTGGAAAACTCGACACCCTCTCTGCCTCCCCCCAAAACACCTTCAAGTTAACAGTTCAAGTTTAACATTCATTGATTGCAGTTTTTGATGTTTTTTTTGGGGGGACTGCCAGCCTAATGACACGTTGCAGTTTTGATTATGGGTCATGGTTAAAAGACTTTAACCTGCACAGGGAGAAAATGTGCCAGCTAGGTACATAGATAGTATCTATTGGATACTTGGTAAAGAAAATATATAATATTCAAAGACTACAACTCAACTCTTCTTAAATTAAAAAATTAACTTGACTTTTTCCCTGTGCAGTACCTCTTTATCTAGTTTTATGGGTCAAAGTTAAGAATCTTTACAAGCCAGTGCCCGGCGGGCCAACACTTACCCTCTTCCCCAGATCGTGAGCCAAAGATCAGGGCCCTCTCGTGTTCCCTCAGCTCGCCCAGTACAGCATTCTCGTCCAGCTGCAGCGGGGATAATGGGTGATATATATGAAAAGAGAAAGACCAGAGATAGATAGATGCTTAATATGCAAAGCGGAAAGTGTAACATGGCCAGCAAAGCGTTAAACAGACCAAAACAGATGCGAGCACCCACGGAGAAGGGTTTTTTAATGTTATTTTCCTCAAAAGTAAGAAAAAAATATAAAATACTTTCACTCAAACACAATGGAAAATTTGTACCTCGAAAGAAAACCCCAATTAGACAACTTCAAACAGCTGCTACGGTGCCGGGGTCAACAGTGGTAAGGTTGATGCAACATCACAATTTGAACTATATAGTATGTATATATCCCAGACTGAACCATATATCTCTGGTGCGTGTGCGCCTATTTGCGCGATTATTTAATTTAATTTGTTGTAACAGTTTTCATTTGGTTTTATTTTGGCTTGCTTTTATTTGGTGGAAAAGCGCGTTTGCAGCCGGCGAAGCGTGAAGAGCGTTTCGGTTTTTCGGATTGAAACTCCGCCTCTCGCGAGGAGAAGGTGTTACAAATTGCCGTTGTGGCTGATGTTTATTACCAACATTGTAAGTTTTTTGTGTAAAAATGGGGCGTGCCTGGTCGTTTAGCTCTTTGGAATGTTTAAATTAAAATTCTAAAGATTGTTTTTGGCTTAATTTGACTTTAGTTCTGGAGTGTAAATGGATTCATAGGTGGTATATGTGGCTAAGACTTTAAATAATTTTAAGAGATGTGAATAAGTGACCTTAGCCAAGAAAATAAACTCAAAATAAACCTTATTACTTGAAGCTTTAAATGATGAACTTGAATTAACGATTCAAGTGCCATTTAGCAATATAAAACATATACTTAAAAAATACATATATTTTCCTAAAGCTTTAGTTGTTAAATATTGTTTTAAATATTCAAACCTATCCAGTGTAGTTTTATAATTTCTGTATTATTGACTCAACTAAAGTGCTTCTAAAACAAAACAAATAAGTTTTCGGGAGTACAAACATATAGCTCTTTATAGCCCTTTGCAAAAGCTATAGCATTTCCCGATCTCCGGTCTTACAAAACTTTGTAGCTGAACTTTATCGAATGGCAAACAATGCTCAATGAAATGGACACTAATTGGCTGCAAGGGCAACAGCATAATAGGACCAAATCAACATGAAATGCCCCGGAAAAGCACGGAAAACAGCACGAGCAAACAGCAACAATAACCTGTGACAAAAACCCAGGCTGGAAAAAGGGGGGAGAAAAGCAGAGTGGAAAATGCAGGCATATATAGAGATATACTCACTCTAATCGCCCCCGCCGAGCGGCGCTGATTATGTGATGAAATTTTGCGTGACCCGTGGGCACAATGAGCGCAAAAAATCAAAAAATAAATAAAAGAAGAGCCAGAAAGAAAAATAAAAGGGGGGAAATAGCGAAAACTAGAAACAAACACGTGGAAATTATATCACAGAAAATTGTCTTCGGGCCAATTTAAAAGGAGCACCCATAAGTGAGGGGGTGGGTTGGAAATCACATAATCAACAGCGTAACCGAGCCAACGATTCTAAAGGGTCAATAACTTGGCCAACAAAAAGCACTAAACTGGAATCCTCTGCTTTTCCCCAGCTGAAAATCCGATAGAACTCTGAGACAGCTGCAGTCGCCAGCTGGTGTAAAGATTCTTTTGCAATTCCACGTAATCATGAGATGCATTCCTTATAGAGACGCTGCGACGCCAGCCAAGGCTCAAATTTAAATTATATCAAGAAAGTCACCTAACTTCGGCACGCCGAACTTTATATACCCCTGCGCTAGGAATTAATACAATTTAAATTATATATATTTATGTTAAAAAAATAAAGTAATACCTGCTTACATTTCATTCACCTATACATATTATATTAACAGCTTTACAATTTTCTTAATTTGATTCAAAGCCATATTTTATTTAGAAATTCGTTTTAAGTTACAGAAACGGTTGTTAAATGTAGAGGATCAGTAAGGAAGTTACTGTGAACAGTAAGTAACTATGATAAGTATAACGAACATTAAGTAACTATGATCAGTAGATAACTATGAACAGTAAGTATCTATGATCACTAAGTATCTATGACCAGCAAGTATCTAAGACCAGTAAGTATGTATGATCAGTTACTAAATTTGAACACTGGTAAACAATGACTTGCAACTTTTGTAACACAACACATTTCTGAGACAAGGCCGGCAGAACTCACTTCGTTCCGGGGATGTTAGAACCAGTTGAGAATCATATGCACAGATGTGCGAGATTTGATTTGGAACAAAGAGCAAGCTATTTGAATGAAACTATGTAGTTATTCGTTTATATAATTTTACTAGTATATAAGTCGGAGCATGGCGAATCGGTGGACTATATATATATAGATATATATATATATATATATATATATATAAACATATATATATAGCTGCCATAGGAACGATCAGAAAATTGTAAGAAAAAAGTTATCAATTTTCCAGTTTACAGCAGAAGGAAAGAAGGACATGGCTAGATCGACTCGGCTGTTGATGCCGATCAAGAATATTTATACTTTATATGGTCGGAGGTGCCTGTGGAGGACCGCATTGCAAACTTCTGACTGAAATTAAAATACCCTGCAATGGTATAAAAATATATAAACATAAATATAGGGCGTACAACGGGAAGGGTAATTTTAAGGGAAAGACATGTGTAATTCGACTTGTGGTCGACTGGCTTATGTTTATTAGGTTGCCGGTCTCAAATTACGAAAAACGTTTTTTAAGCCGCCCAATTCTACAGAGGTCATTCAACGCCTCTCGGTTCTACACATAACCCCCGATTTTGCCCCGGAACTTCAACTACATATATTTTTTTGCATAGCTCGGCAAAACTCAAGTTGAGTCAGAGACAATGTATTTTGTTTTTCTTTTTTTCGTGTCCATGTTCTGTCTACATGGCGATTTTTTAGCTTCTTTATTGTCACCTGAAGCATGATGTGTGGCTGGACGATGATCACCTGTTTTCGCTATATGGGTTAAGCGTATGACTTTCAAGAACGTCTACACTCGGACAATGTTGTTTATTGGTTTTGTTAGGTGATTTTTATATATACAATCATTTTCCTGGGAGAATAAATGGGGAAATATAAATATCTACATTATATAGAAGTGTCAGAAAGCGATTTATATACATTTATTTTATTAGATTTTCAATCGTGTGTTTGAGTGTAAGCTCACAAAGATATATCACATATAGCGCGACAATGAGGCCAAGAACAACTATTGATTGATAATGGCAGTCACCTCCATGACATAAAGTGCCTTAAAAATATATCCTATGATTCTATTTTAAAAGAATTTAATAAGAATATTTGTAAGTTAAATAGTTAATTGAGAGTGATTTATGTTTCCCCAAAAAAACACTAATAGATTATAAAGAAATAAATATAAGACAATTTTTTCTTTAAAATCCAAATTTAAAATATGCATAACTAAGCCCAAAAAGCTTTAATTTTAATCCGGAAAGCTTTCCTTTGTTAGATTTTATTATGTTAATAAATCACATTTTTATAAAATTTTCACATATTTATAACATTTTGAGAATTATAACGATGTAACCTCTTACCATTACCAAAATTTGTTTTCTCCTACATACCCAGAAAGATCCTGATCAAGAATATATATGGTTTATAGGGTCGGAAATGACTATTTTAAAGCTTCTAACTAAAACTAATATATCCACCAAGGGTAGAAACATAAAATGTCCACTTCTTAATAAGTACATTTTGTTAGTCATAAATATTCAACATAATGTACTTCTCATTTCGCTCAACATCAAAATCCCAGCTGGAATTGACAATTAAAGTTACAAAGCCATATGGCCATGTTCAAGTTTTGATTGATATCGGGACTCACCTCAATGCCATTGTAATGTAAGCTCCTCTTGCGTCGCAGCTCGATGTTGACGGATTTTGGCCGAGTGGCAGAAGCGGAGGCGGTGGCATCTACATCGATTAGCAGCCACAAGGTGGTCAAAACAATTAAAGCCAAACGACAATGCCGATTAGACCCAATTGCTGAGGCGGCGGCACTCATAACGATGCGTTGACGGTGACAACAGAAGTGCCCCTGATTTTGTGTGATTTTTTTCTTGCTGTCTGACTGTATTGTTGTAATACTCAAAGCTAATCGCTCTTTTTGTTGCTGCAACAGCCAGGCGATGCGACGAATGTTGCATAAATTGCAAATATTTTTATTCCTCGGGGTTCGCTATATACCGAATTCGGTAATTTGCGTCATAATTTGTGGCTTCTTGTGTGTGTGCAGTTACATTTTGCGAGCGATGGACGACTCCCCCAGCCCGATTTCTCGAGATATGTAGTATATATAGTAGTAAGTATATATAGAGAGTGAGAAAAGTGAATGCGCGTGTTGCACCGGCAGTTAATTTAACTGTTTATGCACTAATTAATTGCTTGGGCATTGCATTACGAGTCATTTGTTGTTTGGGCCACTTTGGCTCTCAGTTACTATTTCTCCCTCTATCTCGGCCACAGTTTGTTGCCTAAGTTCTTCCTTATTGATACGAAGCACTCGAGATAGGCCTGAAATGGTGCTTGAAATGTCAGCAGCGCCGCGCTCACTGATCGCCAATATATATAGTATAATAATGCCAGTCTTTTGTTTTGCACATTTAAACGCACTTATTTTTATTTAAACGCCAGCGAACAATTAAGCAGCATACAGCACACAGACATTTACACACGGCCCCGGCTTCCATATAGATCATCGGCTTTGGAGCATAACGCTCTTCTGGTTCATATCCGAAATAAATGTTGTATATATTTAACTACGCCATTGAAATCCATAAATCAAGTCGAAAATAAGCGAGCGTTTTGAACTGTTTAAAGCACTAAATTTTGGCCGGAGGTCAATGCGATCGATGGCTTTCCGAAGGATTAACCATAACGAAGGAGAGCGTGACGCCAAAAGGGGGAGCGACACAACCACTCGCGACGGCCGCGCTTTTACGAATGAAATGTGAAAATCATGGAAAACTTGGAGCATGGTACAATAACTTGGAGCACAGCGCACACTCACACGACGATCGTAGGGAGGCGCTTCGTTCTCGCTCGGTTTGGCTTTTCGGCGGCTGGGAGTTGTTCGCCAGGCAAAAACAAACTCATAAATATATGCTAATGAGCCAGAGCGCCGGAAGAAGAGAAGAAGAATGCCTCAACCGTTAAGACGTGGCAAAGGGCCAAAAAAGAAAAAAGAATTAAAGATCTTACAGAAGGAAAAACACAACAACATTGGCAAAAAGCTAAGGCGATAAAGTGGAAAGAGGCAGACACTTGGTGATTGTTTTGTGGTCAAGTGCTTGAAAATGATGGAGCAGACGAAAACTTGACACTGATCATCTGCAAAAAAAAAATAAAAACATGGAAGGCAGAGGAGTAGCAAGAATTATGCTGCATTTCCGCTACGAGTTTCGATGTTCTGCGGCCTGTGGCAGCAGGAAATCTTAAATCAGCGAATGCAAATCAGGGAGGCGCAAAAACAAACAAACCAAACGGACAGCCAATTGAAGTGATCAGTTTTTAATTGAGGCAATCAATGCCTGATGCAACGCGATGCGATGTCTTAATTAAAAAGAAGAGTCTTTAGAATCTGAGAATCTGCCTTAGGCAGAGTTTTAGATACTTAAAAAGTCGTAGAATTAAATATGAGACGCAGTCCTTAAGTAATAAGATAATTATCTATAGGATGTAATGTAATGTAAGATTTCTTAATTAAAGATTTTTAAAACATAGAATTTTCAACAGCTGATAACATTTTAAATTTAAATTCAAATTTTTTGGGCAGCACTGTTTTGGTCTGAACATATCGATAAATTATGAAATTGGTTGAAACTGTTTATACCAAATATATTTTGATTATAACAGTTTTAATTTAAAGTAATCGAATTCTTCAACCTTTCAATTATATTGCTATCGATATTGATATAATATAATGTTTGTATTAAAATTGTTCCAAAAACATGAATGCTTTATTTATTTTAACAACGAGTTCAATATTCTTTTTTATTTTAAGCTGTTTTTGTGTATATTAGTCCTATTTATAACAGCAAATCATTCTTCCTGTTGAACCTTTTCCCATTTTACAACCCAATTTATAATAGTTTGTTTAAGAGCATGATGAGGTCCAGGGTCACACTGTCAAAACATCGAGTTATCGATAAAGTAATCAATCTGGGCACTTCTAGCTCGCATCAAATCATCAAGTTTCAAATTCAACTGCAGCTTGGCTTCGTTTCGCTCCGCTTCGTGCGATCAGTTTTCGTCGAAGTTGTACCCAATCCCAGCAACATTTGATTTTAAAATTGTGTATTAACTAAACAGCTTCAGTTCACAAGCTAATCCATTTCGAAACAAGAAACACGCGCTTGCAATATAATAAAAACGCGCTCCAAAGAACAAGTGAAAAAAGCGATCAAGCGTCTGCTCCTTTGTGTTACTAGTGTTTCTATAGTTAAAAAACATACCTTTCAAGATGGTGGGCACAACTCTGAAAATGCGAGGCGATGAGGTAAGTTTATACCTTAAGATTATCTTAAGTTAGAATCGGGATAGAGATCATAGAAGAGTTAGAAAAATTAGCGGATTCAACGACGCCATTGCAGCGTGGCTAGGGTCATTAAAAGAGAGGACGAAACAGGCGGTGAGAGAGTGAGCGAGGAGAGCGCGTGTGAAGAGGGGGTGAAAAAAGTGCCGTTTATCATGAACCCATGTGTTGTTGTTATTGCTGATGTCTCAATTTGGCGCAATTTCTATTTGCGGTACTTGCACCGCTAATTATTGTCCTCTACTTTCTTCCTGGTAAATCTATGAAGAGATGAAACAACGATTAGCGTCTTGCGGTTCTTTCCTTAAAATGGCGGGTGCGTGGGTGATATGTACACGGTCTTACAATACATATATTCATATTTTACCAAAGAAATAGGTTAAAATATTTGTTTGAATTGTAGAGATTATTGTAAATTTCCTCATTTTTCCCCAGAACGCCTCGGAGAATTTAAACCAAGTGCAACTTAAGAAATTGACAGCACCTTCGCAGGAGGTGAATACAAAACGCGCCGCTTTAGGCGACCTACAAAATCGTGGTTTAAACCGCGCCAATGGCGAGTAAGTTAACTTATAGTCATATCACCATATGGGTTTTATTACAACTATTTAAATTATATTAGAACTAAGGATCTTAAGTTGGCAAATGCCTTGCGGAATGCCAAGGCTCGCGTGGACACGCACTGGAAGAAGGAGCCACTCGGCACCACCACCAATGGAGCTTCAAAAGCCACTGCCGTTTTGCGTTCAAATTCGGTTCGCAACCCAATTGCGGTGAAATCTGCTGTCGAACCCGCCAAGGGTAAGTAATAGCTCCTAAGAATCTTGTGCTAGGATAAAATATAATATAATTAATCTATTTTTTGCAATTGAACCCCACAGTCAAGGCTAGCTCTAATGAAAACGTAAATGAGCCCACTTTAAAGCGCGAGGATAGCAATCTATCCAAGAAATCGCTGACCAAGTTACGTGCCGCCTTGGGCAAGCCAGTGATGGGTGTTTCTGGAATTCGTCGGGAGCCTGTGGCAGCTGCTGCTGTTAAGAAGGAACCTGAAGCCAAGAAGGAATCCGGTGTGTTGGCCTTCCTCAAGGGTCCGGCTATCACAAGCTCAGCCAAAGCTCCTACTGCTACCACAATTCCCACCGCCACTATGTCGCTATCGACCAAGAGATTGGAAGGCGTAGAGGATATCGACGCGAATGACAAAGAGAACTTGGTTCTGGTCTCTGAATATGTAAACGATATCTATGACTATTTGTACCAGGTGGAAAAGGAGCAGCCCATCTTCAAGGATCACTTGGCCGGCCAGAAGGAGGTGTCTCACAAAATGCGAGCTGTGTTGATTGACTGGATCAACGAGGTTCACCTTCAGTTCCATCTGGCCGCAGAGACCTTCCAGCTGGCTGTGGCCATCATCGATCGTTACCTGCAGGTGGTCAAGGATACAAAACGCACCTATTTGCAGTTAGTGGGGGTCACAGCCCTCTTTATAGCCACCAAGTACGAGGAGCTGTTCCCACCGGCAATCGGAGATTTTGTCTTCATCACCGATGACACCTACACGGGCCGCCAGATCCGTCAGATGGAGCTGCAGATCTTCAAGGCCATCGACTGCAACTTGTCGCGACCGCTGCCAATCCACTTCCTGCGTCGCTACTCGAAAGCCGCCGCCGCAGAAGATGAGCACCATGCCATGGCCAAGTACTTTATCGAGTTGGCTGCCGTGGACTATGATCTTGCTAGCTACAGGCCCTCGGAGGTGGGTTGCGATAAATACACATTTCAACTTCTTTCTAAATCTAACAACACAACTTTTGCCTTGATAGATTGCCGCCGCCTCTCTGTTTTTGTCGCTGCACTTGCTGAATGGAAACTACCGGGCTGCAACAGGATTTAACGACCGTCATTGGACGGCCACTCTGGCCTTCTACTCGCGGTACTCTGCCGCCCATTTGCGACCCATCACCAGGCAAATTGCGAAGCTGGCCCGGGACGCACCACAGGCCAAGCTGAAGGCCATTTACAACAAATACCAGGGTAGCAAATTCCAGAAGATTGCGTTGCGACCAGAGTTGAGCGGCCCGCTGCTAGACTCCATCATAGGCCAGAGCCTGCGGAAGTAGTCTGGCAACAACCAGACTGCCACAACACACCAGACCACGTAGTTTAGTTTAATTTGTTTTCATTTTTAAATTTGTAGCGTATTCCGTATTCTGTTCGTTTCGTGTTCGTTACAATTGTGAAATACCCGTAGTCGTAATCATCATCACCTACAACATCTCGTAAATAATCATCGCAATCTGCTGGAGTCCCTCGAATGCAGTATTCCCTCCGCTGCCAGGGGCTAGCTCCAGCCCCTTGGTCCCAGTGCATAAGTGGCTCGTGAACTGGCCATTGGTAGCGAGTCTTTCCATCCGGAAAGATTGACTGGAAGCAGGAGACTGAATGCCCGCCTGTTCCTCCCGCTGGGGCAATTTCTCAGTGAGGAGTGAGTGGCGGAGCTGTGGACACCGAGAGAGAGTGGGCAACGAGTTCATTTGCTGGCCGAACATATCGGCGTTGTCTCTCCAAGCACTATATTTATATATTCCAAACAACTACACGTATTTGTATTTTTAGTTATTAATTTCAATGGGAAATTGTTCGTTCTACGTTCTAAGAATAAATCCAAAACTTGTGCAAAATAATATTCACATAACTCCCAAAAATAACGATGAGACTAGATTATTTGTAATTTATATATATATATATGTATTCCGCACATTTTATACAAAAATGAATTATAATTTAGGTTTATTGTTTACCTAGAAATAAGCAATATTTCGAAGCGGTTTTTTAACAAACTCTTGTTTTCGAAACTGTCTCTGATCCCATACGTATAGCAAATAAAGTTTTGTGAATTTTATATGGAAACATGGGGATTTTTTAATTATTTCTTTCGTATGAACACATGGTTTGTATAGGAACATTTAGACCTGTGTTCCTTTGACAGCTGATGAGTGTGAGAAACTTACCACACCCCGTATTGAAAAATCAGGACCAGACGGAGACCTCTTGCCAAGGACAGAGTTCCCTGTTTCCTTTTGTCCTTTTGCCTTTCAAATCCTGAACACACAAAGCACACATTCGGCTATACCTATATATAATATAGACACCCTACAGGGTCATCTTTGCGATCGCAGGTCAGTTATGTACTCTTCAGTCGTTCTTTTCGCTTAGTTCTTTGCCTCTCTTCTTTGTCTGCCCTGTTCCATGGACAACGGTAGTTGCCCAACCACGTGGCTGTGTGTGTGCTACTGTCGCTGGCTGACTTTCTTGTGTATGTGTGTGGGTGTCTCTTTCTCTCTTTTTAATACCCATTGAAAGAAGAATTAAATCATATCGACTTACAATAATACATGTTTCTATCATATTAATAATAGGTTCATATTAACAATATCTTTTTGCATTACATTAAGCAATTCTATCTTACTTATATACCATTTAAAATCTAAAAATTAAAAATAAAAGCTCTTATTATATGAGCATTTTATCACCTAAAGGTCATCAAGCCGTCGAGACGTGCTTTATGCTTTTGCTTGTGTTTCGCTTGTTCTCATTGCTGAGCTCCTGTTCGAAATTTAAGTTTGACGGTTTTATGACTCTCATTAATTTCTGTTTTTGTACATCTCAAATAATTTCGACACTTTTACGGTCAAACAAATGTAATAAAAAGGAAAGTAATTTTTCTTTGCGCCCCCCTTAGAGCTCCTCCCTTTTGGCACATTTTATGCTGACTGCCAGCGGCAATGGGCGTCATAAAAACTTCAGGCCGTATAATTTGGGTTTACTGTTTTTTTTTTTGGGTCTTGGCTGTTGGGCCGCCGCCGATGCCGGTTTTTGTGTTTTTGGGGTTTCTTGTTCTCGTTTCTGGCTTGCTGTTAACGAAATATGCACAACACATTGAAACCTCTGGGCCCTTTATCCTGTTTCTACTCCTTGCTCCTTGGACTACAGCCAATCGCTCAGGTAGCCCAGAGAGGGGTGGCTAATTTGCAAAGGGGTCAGGGGGTTAAGCAAAGGGACGAGAATTGCAAACATCTGCTCTCCGGCTGGCGGATCAGCTGAGTTTCAGGACCAAGATTAGTTCAGGAAACTCCTGTCGGCAATTGGTTCTTAGTTAGAAGTAAGTACCTGATTCCTGGATTTATTTGTGGAAGGAATAGAAGAAAATTTATTTAACTAGATCCTTAAAAAGGGATGAGCATTTATGAATTTATGTACATATGTAAATTAACAAAAGTGAAGGAAGCAAATTTACAGAATCCCCAAAAATAGAAAAAAAGAAATTTGTGCCTCAAAATATTAAAAGGCTTAATCCCGACCCTCCTGTCCAACTTTTAGCAAAAGCTTCCATATAAACTACACTTTGAATGTATATTAGATTAACGTTTTAATTTTAAGTGGAATCATCATAAACATTTAAAATAGCAACTTCCCAGCAAAGAAGAAACATCTTAATCCGTTTAGAGTATAATTTAGTATCGTTTTTAATTCATCATCGTTTCACAATCATCCACAGACAGTATTTCGACTATTCTCGATTACAATATTTCAAATATTGATTACAATGTAAGTGTAGAAGAACAACGGGGGATTATCTATCGTTTGAGGAGGAACCACACGGATATTTCGCTGAAATTCGAAACTGGATCCGACTAGGATTCGCCATCCAATCCGAAGCCTACGTCTGCTCTCTCTCTCCCAAGATTTAGCGGCATAATGGCGAAGGACAACGGATCAGATGGGTTTCCCAGGAGGAGACGCAGGAAAACATGAATGTGCAAAGGAGTTTTCTCTTGTTTTTGTTGTATAATTTCTGTTTTATCTTAAGCTTTAAGTTGTTTAATTTTTCTTGTTGATGACGGACGCAGGGATGGCGGCGTTATTCATGCCATCTCAGAGATGTTAACTGCGCACGCGACTTTCTAATTTTTCTTCATGTAATTGCTGCTTAACCCTGGAAGGTAGACAAGAATTTAGAGACGATGTCCTTCAGCTTGGCATCGGACGCCTCGGAGATCTGGCCGTCCTTGGCAATGGTGTCGAGCAGAGCCTGCTCGGAGGTCTTGATGTGCTGCAAGAACTCCTTCTCGAACTTGGTGATCTTGGCGGGATCCATCTTGTCCAGATGACCGCGCACACCGCAGTAGATGACAGCAACCTGGGAGTAAACGTTACAAGGGCATTATAAGTGTTTTGGCAAAAAGTTCTACATTTCTATCTTTTCTTTTCAAATTAAATTTAATTTAATTAAAAATTAATCCTACGTTCGGCTTATTCTATTGAATACGCACCTGATCCTCAATGGACATGGGCACGTACTGTCCCTGCTTGAGCAGCTCAGTAAGGCGCACACCGCGGTTCAGCAGCTGCTGGGTGGCGGCATCCAGATCGGAACCGAACTGGGCGAAGGCAGCGACCTCACGGTACTGGGCCAACTCCAGCTTCATGGAACCGGCAACCTGCTTCATGGCCTTGGTCTGGGCAGCGGAGCCCACACGGGACACGGACAGACCGACGTTAATGGCAGGGCGGATACCCTTGTAGAACAGCTCAGTCTCCAAGAAGATCTGTCCATCGGTAATCGAGATGACGTTGGTTGGAATGTAGGCGGACACATCGCCAGCCTGGGTCTCGATCACGGGCAGAGCGGTCAGGGAGCCACCACCCATGGCGGGCGACATCTTGGCGGCACGCTCAAGCAGACGCGAATGCAGGTAGAACACATCACCGGGGTAGGCCTCACGACCTGGGGGACGACGCAGCAGCAGGGACATCTGACGGTAGGCCACGGCCTGCTTGGACAAATCATCGTAGATGATCAGGGCGTGCTTGCCCTTGTCGCGGAAGTACTCGCCCATGGCGCAGCCAGAGTAGGGAGCCAAGTACTGCAGGGGAGCGGCATCGGAGGCAGTGGCAGACACAATCACGGAGTAACCCATGGCACCGGAGTCGGTCAGACGCTTCACAATCTGGGCGACGGTGGAACGCTTCTGGCCAATAGCGACGTAGATGCAGTACAGTTTCTTGGACTCATCCTGTGCCTCGTTGAAACGCTTCTGGTTGATGATGGTGTCGATGGCCAGAGCGGTCTTACTGCAGATTAAATAAATAATGGACGGTTAGTTGGAAGTCCTATCCTGGTCTAATCACCCAGCTTAAGCCTGCTTCTTACCCAGTCTGACGATCGCCAATGATCAGCTCACGCTGTCCACGGCCAATGGGCACCAGAGAGTCGACGGCTTTGATACCGGTCTGCATAGGCTCGCGCACAGACACACGGGGGATGATGCCGGGGGCCTTGATGCCTACACGGAAACGATCCTTGGTGTTGATGGCACCCTTGCCGTCAATGGCATTACCCAGGGCATCAACGACGCGACCCAGCAGCTCATCACCGACGGGGACATCCACAATGGCGCCGGTACGCTTGACGATATCACCCTGCTTGATGAGCTTATCGTTACCGAAGACCACCACACCGACGTTGTCGGGCTCCAAGTTAAGGGCCATGCCCTTCAGTCCAGAGGAGAATTCCACCATCTCATCGGCCTGGATGTTGTTCAGGCCATAGACGCGAGCGATACCATCACCGATGCTCAGCACACGGCCGGTTTCCTCCAGATCAGCCTTGGGGGCGACGCCCAGGATGCGCTCCTCCAGGATGTTGGAGATCTCAGCGCTGCGCTGCGAGCTGGCCACATGGAATTTGCGGGCAGCGAGGCTGGCGGCGGGATAAGCAGCCTTGCAGGCGGCCTGTAAAAAAAAGAGATGGAATAATAATATTAATAGATTATGTAAGGCACAACTTATTGGATAATCAAACTGTTGAATCTACCTGGATTCGCACCTGACCTCAGCATACTAATAAATAAATAAAACTTCTCTTCGGCAGGGTATCTGGCTGTCGGAAACACTACTTTTCACTCAATCCACCTTCACCACTTGCTTGGCCGCCAGACATAACCTCAAACTTGATCCCACGGGCCGCTCTGCCAAATTTATAATTATGTAATCTGACCACAATAACAAAGTTTAGGTAGCGCTTTTCACCCATTAGTGCTTACAATTTAACCAAAAACTGCACATTTCCTGGTAGAAAATTTCGGCCCTCACTGATTATGTAACCTGGCAACCTACCAATCTCGGGCGGCCGCTTTATAATTCGCCGCATTGCGTAACAAAGTTCTTGGCTAAATTACTGCAATAATCCGGTTCAACTTGTGGGCTGAACAAACTTAAGATGTTATCCATTTGTTTGTATAACTTTAAGAGCACGCTGCACAACTTTTTTCGCAAATACTTGCCACCCATCGATTCGGTTATGTATGACATCTTTTTTTTGCCCACTTTTTCGCTGCTATATTTTTTGAGTAAGTTCGCTGGGTAATACCTGAGTGGCAGCCTTGGGCAGGTTGCGGGCGACCGAGGACGCCAGGCGGGCAGAAATCATCGACATCTTAATTGGTTTTAACTTTTCGCCGCGGAAGTAATTGGACAATTCTCACCGACTTCCTTTTTTCACAAAGATGGTCGCAAGTGTGCCCGCACCAAATTCTAGCCGAAAAGGCCTAAAAAATACTTTAGAAAAGCCGAGATTATTTAGGTGATTTCCGACACGGGCGGCCAAATAATAAGGAACTTTTATATCTTAACGCTTTCACGAGAGCAGCTTTCTCAATTTACTTTAATAGCATTTTACATATCAATTGAGAATTTGAGACCATGTATGAGATTCGACCAAAGTTAAGAATTCGACCATCTGTAACTGTGTAAAATTGTTCAGTACAGGTGTAAAATGTAAAATATAAAAGACAGTGACCAATGCGTTGGTCACACTTTGAACTATAACGTAACCAAACAACGTAAATTATAACTTCTTCGAAAAAAATACTGAATGTAACTGAAATACCGAATTCCCTAGAAAGTTGGCGCCAACGAAAACCTATTTTCAAATGCCATAGTATTAAAAAATAATTAACATGTGTTCTTCACGTTTACAAATATTTCAAAATGACAATAGTTTGTGTGTTTATGTTTTGGGAAATGTGGAATATGTAAGAAGTGTATTGCTGTAGCGTATGTTTTCTGAGTGTTGTTTATTTGAATTAGTTTTGGTTCTCTTGCATATTTATTTGTACATTTTCCTTCAGACATGACTAGGTAGATGCAGCTGTTGATGCTGATCAAAAATATATATGATTAATATGGTCGGAAACGACTCCTTCACTGTTATGCAAACTTCTGACTAATTAATAGATGTATCGCATAAGTTAATTAATGTTTATGGGGTCGAATGGTAATCACAATCACTATCACCATCGATGTAAACACTGGGACGGCCGCGGACAGAATGAGGTCAGTGCGAGTGGCACTGCCTGTATTTATAGTGTCCGCATAAAGAGAACAGAGAAAGTGAGGGCGAGAGCGAGAGAGAGAGAGAGAGATCTCTAGCGATAGAAAGAAGGTGAAATATTTGGAGTTACTCAGGGAGAGATAGAAAATCAAGAGAGAGAGAGAGAGAAAATAAGAGTGGGAGTGAGATAGAGCCAGGTAAAGAATTACTGGCTGTTTCGGCATCTTGCGCCCTCCACTGACAAAAGTGAGAAATGTTTTGCGAATTGAGTTGTCTTTTTGGGATTATCAATAAATCCTATCGAAATGTTATTTTCTGAATGTAATATGTATTTTAATTAAATTGCTTAACCGTCATGTTGGCCAGAAAAGTGTTAAGGTTTAGATATAATTTAAATTCGATTTTTTCTCACTATCAGCGAATTGTAATCGCAAACGTTTTGCGAAACACAACGAGTTATTAAAACGGTCTGTTCATTTTGGAGACTTTCGAGCGTTTCATTGTTGCGCCGCCTCAATTTCCCCCGCTCTCAGCCAGGACTTCGTCCGTTTAGCCGAGCACAGACGAACCCAAGAGAGCAGACAAAAAAAAGGACTTAACCTTCGCCGCTTTGTGGATTTAAACTATGTGGACTTTGTGGGTCCAAATTCAAATGCGCGCGCAAGTTCAAAATATTCAGTTATTTCACGCAGCTTCACTTCATCTCGTCGGAGCTTCAGTCTGAGCTTGTGCGGTCCTGTGAACACAACGCGGCGGTATTACGGAACGGATAACGGGACTAAACCGAACGCTGGCTGTCAAATGTAGGAGAAAATTGCATGTGCCATTTAAGTGAGTTTCTGTGCGATTTGCTGGGCGGTTTTCATCGCCGTCAGCCGCCAGCTGGTTCCAGCGGGGCCAGAAAGCAAAAAATCATCGAATTTCTGGCCACGTGTTATATGGGCCGAAATTCAGTTCTTTGCGAAAGCAACGTTTATTATGCAAATTAACACAACAACAGCAACGGGGACCTGGGCCAGCATCCAATCTCCAAAAAACATATAAAAGAAAAGGAAACTCTGAAACTCGAAGCGCTCCTTAGCGATTCTTCTTCTGTGTTTTGTTGCTGCTCCTTCTGCTGCTTCTGCTGCACGCAGACAATGACAGAAATTTGTCATCACACACACACAGCCACATACGCACAGAGAGCGTAGAACAAAGGCAACGGGGAAAAAGATAAATATACGAAGGGAGTGCGAGCGGGAGAGTTGATGGGGCATGGGTGTGAGAGAGAGCAGAGCAGCAGCCGTCCGTCTCACTCACGCACTTGACTGAACATTAAACTCGCATTTTTTTATGTGAGCGCATGGAGATTTTAGAGGCCTGCTGGTTCTTACTGCTGCTCCTCCTGGTGGCCTCCTGCCATCCTTGCCGGTCGCCGCACATCGTCGGCATCTATATGGCTCCCCCTTCTCATCATCTGTAGAATCCGCATTCGGATACGCATCCGCATCCGCCATCCGCAATTTTTGACAGCTGTCAGCGTGTTTCGTACGGACGTGTGTGTGTGTGTGTGCTCTGTTTGTGTCGGTGTGTGGCTGGCACAGTTATTTCCACTTGGGCGGCAAGGTCAGCGCGTCATGCAAATTGAAAACTGCAAAAAACAAAGGCAAAGGCAGAGGCATGCCCAACTACAACGGCAAAATCAACGGTAGCCACAATAACAGCAGCAGCATCACCTACAACAGCAGCAGCAGCAGCAGCATCAACAACAACAACAACAACAACAGCCACGGCAACAACAACTAACGAAAATGTTTGAGAAATATGTCGCCACATATGTGCGCGCGTGTGAGCAAGTGAAATTAAAATTCCCGCATGCCTAATGAATTCGCCCCGCTCTTTCGCCGTCCCTCTCCCACAACCGTTATGTGTGTGCGAAAGCGAGTGCGTGTGCCTGTGTGTGTCCGTAAGTGTCGCTGACTTCGGAATGACAAAAACAACAAGAGCCACAACGATATAGCAGCTACAACTAAAACAATGGCTTGCTAAGCTGCTCGAGTGAGTGAAAAAAAGAAGTAAAATAAGCAAGAAGGAAAGGAGAGCCAAAGAGCGAGCGCGAGAGAGAAAGAGCGTGAGAGAGGCAGAGGAGACAACGGAACGAAAGCAAAAGTGAAACTTGCAGCGAAGAAAGGTGAGTGAGAAGTTTCAAGAGATGCCCCCGAAAAAGTATTCTATAACAAACGAGAAACATCAACATTAATAAATCAATCGAAACATCAAGAGTTTTCCAGAATTTCAAGAATTATATTTATATGTTATAGTACCAAACTTGTAAAGATTTCGAGTTTCAAAGTGAATAACAAAAAATGCGTATACGTAATGTGGTTATAATAATGCCCCAGAAGATATGCTACAAAAAGTTGAAAAACTCTTCGCTGGCTAATTTGTCCATAAAAAGTATTGTATGTTTTAAAGATAAATAAATTTGTAACATTAAAACTATTCTATTATTCTCATTTCTGTGATATATTCTTTAATCAGTCTTGTCTTGTTATTACGTATACGTAAGTGAGAAATGAATTAATTTTCTGATTTATTTATTATCCTACTCCTTAATTCGGGCCAATTATATAACCATGTAACCCTCACTGAATTGTGGTAATTTCTCTCCTCCATCTTGCAACTGACATCAACTATTTCCCCATTCATCAAAACCAAAAGTTGAAAGTGCAAAACCCACAAACAAACACATATTCACTCACACACACAAAAATGCAAATTTAGTCAAATCAAAGTGCAATTGTGGCTGCCACACACACAAACAAAAAAACAAAGCCAACACACAAGTAAAACTTTAATAATATGAATAAATGGAATATGTTGCCATAATCTAAAGGATGAGTAGCATAATGCATAAATTATCTGGACTTCAGTAAGTTTCTAAGCATTCTAAAAGAAATCGACATCATGTTGACAAAATATCAAAAGCATTCTACACAAGAAAAAAATATGGCGATTTCGAAGAAACCATTAATTTGACAGCACTGTTAGAGGATGCAAAATGAAAAAATCTAGGATCCTATTAAATATAATAAGAAAAAACCTAATCCTCCATATTTTCTTATCATTTTAGGCCAAATAGTAGTTTATTTACCGATTGCTCAATATTATTTGAAATAATCCCGAATTGATGACTAATTTTTTTTGTTAATATTTTCCACGTTTGTCTAACCAAAGGAACAAGAAAAAAGAAAAGTTTATCGATTACAAGTTATGGTCTTATGGTTTCCAAACTCCCTCTCTCTCTTTTTCTGAATATACAATATATAGAAATAAAGTCATTACCATCTGGGGCGAGGACTCCGACTGGGGCCGGGAGTCCCCCCGAAAAAGGAAAACCAATTAAAATTATTTGTGGCGTCAAAGGCGAATGGCAAAGAATGCGGTGAGGCGAAATGGAAACGAAGCGAAATGGAAACGAAACGAAATGAAATGGAGAGATGTGAATGGGCCCTCAGCTTCATCGTAAATAATGCGGGCATTAGAAAGGACTCTTGTAGCACCCACCACCACCACCCAGCATCACTCGACACCGGGTGTCCTTCGCTGCCACTACCTCCTCCGTCTCTGCCGCCTGCTGACTGTTTTGTGAGCCAACTTCTTTTTGGTCCATTGCAGCGGGGCATAAAAATGTTAATTTATGTTCGCTGCGCCTCACAGTTTGCATATTTGCTGCTGGTCCTGGGTGCTCATTTTCGTTTCGGGCAACAATTTTTCGTTGAACACATAAAAAAGATTTCTGTGCTTCGAGTTTCTCTTTTTTATTTATTTTTTTTTAATTTTTTTTCGGCAGATAAACTGTTTTTCTCCTTTGGTGTTGCCATTGCTGGCTGCTTTAAATGGAACGTGACTGTGTCCCGAAATATGCGAAACAGTTGCCAGCCAGGCCCCGGGTTTTCCGGTGTTTCCCCCTTTGGGGTCCAAATCCGAATCCGACTCCGAATCCAACGAATTTCTAACAGAGTAGAGTTATAGAGAGACGACGAATGGATACTTTAGCTGCAGCACAATTAACAAGCTGGCATTAATGTGGAAAAAAGGATTCCACGCCGATTTTCCTGCGATTCTCGGGGGCAAGATTGCAAGGCATGCGTGCGTGAACATTTAATTAAAGCGACTTATTAAGTATGTAAATTTCCGCAAATGATTAATTTGCATATTTATGAGACTAAAATGAGCAGGATACAGGGGGGTGAGGTAGCGTCAGACAACTAAAACGACAACAACAAAAGACGTCGGCAACTGTCAATAATAATCAGGCAGGAACGTGAAGAGGGGATGGTTTAGATAGTATGGTAGAAGGTGTTTAGATAGCCAACAACAGGCGGGGGAGGAGGGATGGCAAAACAACGACGGCTGTAATAACAATTTGAAATTGAAATTATGAATTTAACATGACAGCAAACGATGCGCGCAAGTTTTATGGCTTTTAACTGCAGCTTAAGGAGTTTACTTACGCCGGCTAATTATGCGTAAGACGAAACGCGACAAAACATCAAGAGAGAACATCATCTTGGAGGGTGGATTTGCCTTGGAGATGGCAAAAATCAGGCAGCTGCTGCTCAATTTCACAAAATGTATCCCTGCTAAAGATTCCAAGACAATTTAAGCATATACAAATATTAAAAGATATCAAATTAAGTTATTTAGAGTTTTTTAGGATGTTTTTTGCTTCATATCCTACAGTTTCCAGTAAAAAAAAACTAAGTCTAATTTTAATTGATTTCAATCTCATTTTTTCTGATGCCTGCCAAAGTTTCCCAAAAGCGTATCAATCATCTCACGGAAGAGTTTCGGTTCTACCACCCGCCAAGTACCTGGCTGTTTTGGCCAAAACACTCTCCTGTGGCCACTAATTAATCATAGAGCAGTGGCAACGCACTTGCGCTGCCCTCCTCGTCGTCGTATTCCAATTAAGTGCATTTCTTCGTTTCCACCTTTTCCCCAGCTACACCTTTATTGCGTCTCTAAGCACTGAGAAAAATATGCTACAAATTTAAAGCCTTAAAGTCTTGTTTGTTATAGGCAAACATTAATAAATAAAGTCTTTCAAACATAAAATGTAAGTTCTATTCTTTTAAAAAGGATATTTAAGTGCATCCCTCTAAGAACATTTTCCCACTACATTTTGTATTTCGCTCAGTGTACGAGCTGTGTTGCGACGTGCTCCAATTAGCGTGGATGGCCACGTTGGAGCAGCCCCTTCCTGCCCTTGCCATTTCCCCTTCATCAGCCACTGAAAAGCAGGTACTCAACGCCCTGACCATGTCAACTGGTTTCTCCATTCCGGTCCCAAAAATTCCGTACCTATGAAATACCCAGAAACACATACACATACAAACACACCAGAAAGAGTGGCCGCTTTGGGTGTCAATCAATGGCAATAACGAAAAACAGCATCAAACGAGTGAGTTGCTTTCCGATGTTGCCTCCCGTTGGCCACTAATTCTTATTGGACGTCACACTCGACAGCATTTCACAATTTTCCCATCAGTTTTTCCACCATTTTCGCACTTTAAGCCTCTTACGCAACCTTCTGTGTGTGTGTGTGTATATGTCTGGCGTTGCCTAATTAAAATTCCCCCCAAACCTCACTTTCCGGTTCCTCGCCATCAACATCCACATCAACATCGCCATCGCCAACGTCCTCGTCATCATTCTGCGATTCTGTGAAAGTCAACAATTTTTAATTTGCCAAACAAACTGTATATAATTAATTAAAGTTTAACGTGGGCGTCACAAATGAAAAAGTAGCCTTATAAGTGCCTTCCCCTTCTCCATTGCTCCCCTTTCCTTTTTTACCAAACAGCGGAACCCTTCCATATCTTTCAACAATGTTCCTCCGTCGGTTGTTGTTGTTGTTGCCTGCTGCTGCTGCTGCTTCTGCATTCTCATTTTGTTTTAATATGCAAAGTCAACAACATTCTGTGTCAGCCGAAGGGCAAAATCAACAGGACTATACTATGTGATGGGTGGAGTGTACCAGAGAAGGATGCGGAAGGCAGGAAGCAGCAGGCAGGAGGCAGGAGGCAGGAGGCGCAGGCGGAACAGTTGACTGCCCAGTGGCCGCATTAGCCAAAGGAGACGAAACGAGACTCGTGAGGATGGATGTCAACTGGCCAACTGACCAGTCTAATGGACCAGATGCGTCTCTGTGTGCACACAGAGCGAAAACTAGGACATTCTTAGAGTAGTTACATTTTGAAAAATGTTACTTGGAACAAGTTAAACTTTACTTTCAGGGAAATATACGATTTAACATCGATATTATGATTGGTTCTTTATAATTCCTAATGGGTTATTTCAATTTGTTGTTGTTTTTTTTTTTTAAATACAATACAATAAATAATACAATTAAGTTATTGTGCATCCAAGCCAGTATTTACGCATTAATTTAATGGGTCTTATGAATAGTTAATATTAAATAGTCAACTAAATAGTTTGCTATAATTCGGAACTAGTGTTTCCGTATTTTCAATGTTATTTTTAATATGCAAGCATAATTAAAACTTCAAATTTAAATTTCTTCTCGAATTTTTGTTACTTTGCTTATTAAAACTATGAGTAAATTCACATCCTAAGGCTCTTTTTCACTATATTTTTCTCTGTGCAGTTTATGTGTGTGATTGTTATTTCGGGAGAAATATGCGTAGAGAAATGTAGATAGATGCAATTGCCATAATTGGGGCCTGGAAACCATGTGTACAGGTGTAAACAGGCATGAAATCCCTTATACTACAAAGCAAGGGTTTTAGCTTTAAACAAAACTATAGTTTCGGTCTCTTAGTTCACCATTTTTAACTCAATGGGGAACTCTTATCAAATACATTCGTATTATTTATTCAAAGTAGATACTTGTGTTCAAGACACCTTTATAAAATTTAATTTTAGTGTTTCTGTTTGTTTGTAGCGACCTTAGAGTCCAATTAAAAGTCTTGGGTTTGGCTAATGAAATAGTATAAATTGTATCTTTGCACATGGTTTGAGCTTTTGGAAATAATTCTTGACCTCAATTTCAGATATTTACGTCAGAATGAATTGTTGGGAATACATTCACGCCTTTTGCTGCTCAAGTGATTTGCATTCATTCAATTGCGTTGAATTGAAAATTGAATTTACCGCAAAATTTGC